TACCTGTCCTCATTAACATTTTATTTAGATATCAATGATATTGCTATCAGCACAAAATGTAGTGACACTGATCTTCCTTGATACACTGTTATCTCAAAACATTTGAACCTCTTAATAGCATAAAAGAAAACTATGCGTGAAAACAGTCTGCCAGAAATGCAGGATTAACCTAAGCGGCAGCAAAGATCAAAGAAGTGCTTTTGCAGATTAGTTACATAAAAGGAAAATAGAAAATTTATCTGTAGGAGCCAGAAGTATCTAGGACTGAATTGTTTACAGGAACAAGGAAGGGTTCTCACAGCAACATTTACAGAGAAGAAGAAAAGACGTGTATATATGGTGACACAAGGAAAAGGGAATCTAGATGCCTACCAGAAAGATTAAGACTTGAACAAAATCTCTGTCATAAGATATTGTTAAATATCTGTAATTATGGGATTTGTGCATCAGCTTGGTTCTGGATTAAACACAGTTACAAGGATGTGTAATTTAAAAGCAGATACCATTTGCTCTGAAGATGTATGCCTGGAAATGCCCTTGCAAAGATTATTCCAAAGGAACACTGTCATATCAAAAATCCTTGTTTACAACATGGCTGATTTGCACAACTCAATTTTAAAATTGAAAGACTCTTAAGAGGCTATCTTATTTTCAATATACATTATGCTACTCTGGTTTTGTGTGTTATTTGTGGTATAAAACAAACCGAGAAGTCACGAGACTGATTTTTACTTTGTAGCACTTCCACAGCAGCACAAGAGTATTAGCTTGGCTTTATTAATTAATTTTTTTATAGAGCTTTATTTCAGAGTCTTTACTCCAGGTCTGGAAGGTCTGTTTTGACTAAACACAGTTTAGATCCTTGTTTGGGGCAGCTGTCTGTTAAATACTTGAAGACTTTTCTGTCCATTAGGTCTCCCTTGAGTTTCCTTTTCTCTATGCAACACCACTCTTCAGTTTCTCTCACAGACATCCACCCTGGACTTCGTTTCTCTGCCCTATGCCAGCGTGCATTGTCTTTTCCTAAACTGCAACAGAGTGGGCAGAACTCAGCTGAAGGCCTGTTTCAGACACGGAAAAGCACTGGTGCAGGTTTTTACACACAGAAAAAATAGGCTGTCACAGCATGAACCACTGCAGGGGGTGATAAATATTCCTGTTTGAGTTTTGTACATTTCCCATGCCTTCTTCCCCGTGTAGGAAACAACCGTGTGAAAACTAATATACACAACATTCTGTGTCTCCTCTGTCTCTACAACAACCAGCAAAGTGTTGTACCTGTGCAGTACAACCTGCTAGACTTCAGGAGACCTGCAGTAGTAGCTGCTTTAGGAGAGGTGTGGTAGCTGCAGCTGCAGAGAAAAGCAGCAATTCCCACCCTGTCGCTGTTCTAATCTCCAAAATTTGCACTGATCCTCTCCATTCCTCAAAGCCTGGAGCCAGAAGGAATCCCCTGCAAGACTTCATGCTACAGAGCACAAAATTCAATTTTGCCTGTGCTGTGGAAATACTGTGACCCCGTCTGGCTGTACTCAGCCAAGCCAAGCAGACACAATACAAGGATCCTCTTCACACACCCCCCAGCACTGTCTGACTTCTTCTGACCACATGATATTGACTCAGGACGAGGCAATTTTCTGCAAAATTGCTCATCTCATATTATTTTCATTACTAATCAGCTCCCAGAATGAAGAAGAAACATTTTTAATCTGACAATAAAAAACACATAAAACATCTGTATCTTTTAGCTGATGATCGTAGGCTTTACCATATCATATTTTAGAGGTCTAAATTACATAGTAGTGCCTCATTACGTTTTTCCATTAAGAAATACAATTATGAGATCAATTTGCTCATTCAGTAGTGTCCATAGACTGGATTAAATATATATATGTTTTAAAATTATGCTTATGAAGCTCAGAGAAACTCTCTTTAAATTATTCTTTTCCCTTGTAGCATCATGTTCTTTAAATGTGTACAAGTTCAGTAAGAGCAAAGAAAAAAATCCAGAGTGCAAAACCAGCAACTCTACATATCTCATCACAACCATTTCACCTTCCTTCCCTGCTATTCCCTCCCTCTAGAAGGTATTCATAACTCTTCTGTCTCAGACTCTCCTATATTCTTATTAACGTTGTGTTTCAACTAATTTGAAAAGCAGACACCCAAATGATACAACAAATTAAGTTATGAGAAGGCAAATCTGCTCTCCATGCAGGGCCTGAGATCAGATTTGTGAGTCTGCTCAGTGTTTAAGGATAAGCCTGACTCAATGCAATCACATGTTTTTGAAAGCCAAGATGTGTGCTTTAAATGAGGATGACCACAGGAAACAATTTCTCTAATTTCAGCTTTTTAAACACTTTTCCTTGCATAATTTCATTGAGCCATTTTCTACCTTACAGACTTCTCCCAGCGAATTCTGCGTTGTTAAAACACCCAAAGTCACAGACACATCGTATGTATCAGCAACGAACAGCTTGGAAAGTCTGGAAAAGAAAGAAAGAAAACCAGAGATGTTTATTTGCAGTACAGCTGCTGAGGAATAACCACTGTGCCTATGCATATTGTGGCTGTGTGACCAGCCACGGCTCATGGCTGCTGGCCAAGCAGCCTCCAGCCTTTTTCATGCTGTTCTACATGTCAAAATAACCAGGCTGTGGTTACACAAATAAGACACACACTGTTGGGCATGGAAATAAACAACTGGTGTAATAATAACTACCTGCACACCATTCTGGCACTCTGGTAGGTTGAGTCAATTCCATTTCAATGGAAATATTATTTTACAGATTTTCAACTAACTCTGAGTTTTTGTGATATTTTCGGTTAATTTGTTGAACTCTATTAGCATTTTACATATAACACATTATGAAAATAAGTCTTTAAAAATACTTAATTGTATAATTATATGCATAGGAAACAAAAATAGACATTTACCATGAAAATGTCTTTAAGGCATTCTTAAACTGTGGTGTCTGTGGTTTAAATGTTTATTTCTGTCTATTAATATGGATGGCCAATTTAAGTTTTATATTTAAAAATAGCCAATCATTGCTGTTCAACAGAATTCTTTGTGAGACTAAAATTATCATCAGAAAACTGTTTTTGTCTAATAAAGCCAGCTGGTGGCTCAGGGTCCCAGACACCAAGTGACACCAAGTGACACCAAAAGGTCCCTCTGGTTGGCCAGACTCACCACTGAGAAAAATGGATATTATGAAGGTAAGAACACATTAAACATTTGTGTAACAGAACTTCTTGGGAAATTGGCTTGAGTGAGCTCTTCAGGAAAGCCAGTGGTGGGGAGAAGGGAGATGGGAATGTCTTTTGTCAAAGGGTTTCAAGGCCAGGCCGTATGGGGCTCTGAGAACCTCGTCTAGTGGAAGGTCTCCCTACTGCTGCAGGGGGTTGGAATGAGATGACCTTTAAGGTCCCTTCCAACCCAAACCATTCTATGACTTACTATTTAAAATTGTATGTCTCTGAAAATCACCATGTTTTAATGTGAAGATGCTCTGATGGCAGTTTCTTCCAATGGTCAGTCAGACTCACAGATGTGAGTTCTTACATATTTGAAGCTGTCCACAAATCTTCTTAAACCTTTCTTCACTAACTTCAGAGCTTTTTTGTGCTTTTGTTTCCCCTCTGTATAGGCACTCATGTGATATGGCCAAGTCACCACCTAGTGTTCTGCTTTTGCTAAGTTGGAGCTACCTACATATTTGACCTTGCAACTATTTTAAGCATTTTTTTCCCCCACACCTTTGGCAGCTCTTTTTACGGCACCTTTTCCAGTGTTTCAACATCCTGTCAGGAGTGTGGGTGTCAAAACTGGTAGAATGATCTGGTACACTGCTCTGCAGTGCTGAGGAGTGGCAAAGTGGCACAGTCATGCAATATAATTAACTTTTAAAAGGCCTCAGAGACTTATGAGGAGCTATGCTCAATACAATAAATCAGGACCAGGTAGGTTGTACTGGAGTAGTTCTGCACTGAAGTTAGATGCTTTCCCCACTTCAATGCGACCACCTCACAGGATGGGATACACCACAGCAGGGACCTGATGTCTTGCGCTGGAGGCATCTCTGCTCTTCTGTGCCACTTCCTCAGGCCTCCCCAAGAGCCACACGGCTGTGAGCAGGCTGGGCTCCTGCGGGGAAGTGTCACACGGTGGATAACCCCTGGGGGCGATGGAAGTGACAAGAGCAGAACAATCACCTCCTTAGCCTGGTTGGTGATGCTTTGCTTGATGCCAGCCATGCCCTGGGGTGCATCAGGGACAGCACTGACCGCTGGCCAAGGGAGGGCACTGTCCCTCTCTGCTCCACACTGGTATGGCCGCACCTAGAGTCCCGTGTGCAGTTCTGGGTGCCACAATATAAAAAGGACATCCGAAGAACGGCCACAAGGATGGCAAGGGTATGGAAGGAAAGCCTTATGAGGAGCAGCTGAGGTTGCTTGGTTTGTCCAACCTGCAGGAGACTGAGGGGACATCTCATTGTGGTCTTCAGCATCCTCATGAGGGGCAGCGGAGGGGCAGGCACTGATCCACCTGGCAACCAGGGCAAGGAGCCGAGGGAATGGCATGGAGTTGTGTCAGGGGAGGTTTATGCTGGATATCAGAAAAGGGCTCTTCACCCAGAAGGTGGCTGGCCACTGGAACAGGCTCTGCAGGGCAGTGGTCCCAGCACCAAGCCTGAGTGGAGGAAGTGTTCTCAGGCACACGGTGTGATTCTTGCGGTGTGCTGCGCACAAGAGCTGGGCTCGATGGCCCCCGTCGATGCCTCCCAGCTGCGGACACCCTGTGATTTGCGAGCTCGCATCACTTCTCGCCGCCCGCCCCTCAGGGGCGCTGTGGGGAACGGAGCCGGCAGCGGCGCCAGGTGCCCGCCCGGTGCAGGCCCCGCCTGCGGGGCCATAGAGCGCCGCCGCAGCAGAGCGGCCGGGCGGGCGGAGTGGCGTCGGCGCCCCCCGCGGCCGGGCGGAGCTGGGCCGTGCTGGGCCGGGCGGTGCGGAGAGGGGAGGCGGGCCAGGTCCTGCGGGAAGGCGGTGCCCGCCACAGCCCTGCGCCGCCGGGGCTGCAGGGCCCGGGAGCGCTTCAGCGGATCCGGGTCGGGCCGCCGGCAGGGCGGGTGAGCGAGGCCGCGGCCGCGGCGGGGCGGAAAGGCGGCGGGCGGGCCGCCGGGAGGTGGGGAGTGCCGGTGCGGGCGGGCCCGCGCAGACAGCGGCGGCGCAGGCGGGAGGTTTGTGCGGGCTCCCCGGGCCGCTGCTGCCGTGGCCGCTCGGTGCAGGGGGGTCCCTGCAGCGGCTCCTCTGTCCCCGGCGTTGGGACGGGCACCGCGTTTCGCCGAACACCCGGCCTGTGCTGGGACACCTGCCCGGGGAGCTGCGGCTGGGCCGGCGCTGCAGGAGGCGGTGTGCACAGGGCACAGGAATGCACTGGCCACTCTTGCTCTTTTTGCTTTTCCAGGGCAGCTGGGCTAGTGAAAACGCCCGTTGTGACACAGGAGCCTCTCCAGACGGCCCAGGAGGCTTTAGCATCTTTCAGTGCCTTATGAGGCACATTATCTCACATCTCCCTGCCATCAGTAAGTATTGCCCGGCAGTGTGGGTTCTGAGCACAGCTAACATCCAGTGTTAATTTTCATGGAACTCGTGGCTGCTTGAGAGGACTGAGGTTGGTTATAGAGGAGAGGCCAGGTGGATGGTGGAGGAGTTGCATTGGAAGTATCTTGAGTGCTCTCCTTTGAGGAAGGATTCAGTGTACTTAAATTTATCCCTGACAGACATTTCCTTAATTGGCTCTTACAGATTATGAAATTCATGGAGTGCCTTCCCCTCCTCTCCAAGGTAACCTGCTTCAATGCTTAGCTGTCACATATAGCCAGAATTTTTCCTTAATAGCTGACCTAAATCTTTGTTGAAACTAAGCTGATTATTATCATGCACTGTCCAGAGTATACCTGGAGATCAGTGGATGGATGTTCTGTCACTGGGCTGGTGAATGTTCTCTAGTTCCCACTCACAGTCTTCTCCAGACAGAGAACCCACTCCCTGTGTTTCTCTGATCCCTTAGCTTTGTTGAGCATTTCTGTCATCTTGAACTCAGAAACAGGTTGAGTGGAGGCGCTGTTAGCAATGAGTAAGGAGGGCAATTATCTCCCTTGTGTATCTCCATCCCTCTTAAAACATTCCAGAATGAATTATTCTTACTTGGCTACATTCACATTACTGCAATATTCAGTTTGTGATTCATTGTAAGTCACATCCTTTTTTCCTATACCTCTACCTAGGGAATTATTCCTGGAGAGGTATCCAAGTTGGTGGGTTTTGGTTTTTTTTACTAAGTGTATTATTTTGCACTTGTTATTAGGTTGAGAAGAAGTTGCTTTGGCCATAATAACATAACTTTCTATACAATTTTTATCTTTGAAATCCATTCTTGCAGTCCTCTTCCTGCAAGTTTTGGGTCATCCACAAATACTTAAAATACTGAGTGGTGTCAGGCCCTGCATATTGTGATAAACTCTTCCAGTTCGACAGTTTTTAGTTTCAAAAAACTTTCTTGTTGTTCTTCATGTTTCCTACTAAAACTGCAACTCATTCTGTGCCATGGCTTTACATCTGAGCCAAATTGTGTGGAGATCTGAAATTAGGAAAACATCAATTCCTTTGAACTGGCTTTTTTGCACAGAGTAGAGATTGCTCACGGCTCAAAAACTAGAAATTAGTGTAAAATGCTGTAGTTTTACAAAGTGTTGATGCCTTGTGTATGTCTTCTTTTAAATTCTTTTTTCTTTCATCTCCTCTGAAAAATCTGCTTTCATCCTAACTCTTCAAAATTGCATTTGCTTTCTTAGACAGCTTTCTGGGATAACCATCCAAATGCCTCATTCTTACATGCTTAATACAGGATCAGATTTGTAGATAATACATTAATGCTTGGTTATACTTGTGAGGGATTACTTCATCTGACCACAAGTGCTCTGGGAAGTTGAGAGTGCGCAGCAATATTTTGAGAATTGTTGATATTGAAGTAAATAGAAAATATTCTAAGAACAGCAAGTTACTGATTAGAATGAAAGGACTGGTCTTGTAATGAAAATGCAGCAGAAATCTGACGGTAAGCCTATAGAAACAGCAAAGTTTCTTTCTCTTAAAATTGCATTTCATGGTGGAAACAATGAAATAATAAAAAAATTACGGGGCTGTGAATTAAGCATAGGTGAACATTATGTTTATATTGACTTCACTGGAAGGAAGAGTCCAGCACTGGCAGGGTCATAAGCTGAATATTCATCCGGGTACTGTCCTCTATCCTCTACAATAATTTATTTTACCTTCTCATTCTGTTCTGTGCAGATGTGCCACTTTAAAAGCCATGGAGCTGGGAAAGGCGAAGCTGCTGCGCACTGGCCTCAACGCCTTGCACCAGGCCATTCACCCCGTGCACGGGCTGGCCTGGACGGACGGCAAGCAGGTGATCCTGACCGCGCTGCAGCTGCACAACGGAGAGCCCAGCTTCGGTGACTCGAGCGTGGTGGGTCAGTTTGAACACGTGCACGGGCTCTACTGGGGCCCGTGTCCCGCCGAGGCCCCGGCCCTGCTGGCGGTGCAGCACAAAAAGCACATCACCATCTGGCAGCTCTGCTTCAACGGCGCCGACAGGAACAAGCTCCTGGTTTCCCAGATCTGCGACATCAGCGAGCCGTATCCCGTGCTCCCCCAGGGCTGCGTGTGGCATCCCAGCAAGGAGGTCTTGGCCGTGCTGACCACCCGGGACGCCTCCGTCTTGCCCTCCGTCCACCTCAACAACTCCAGAATTAACGCGGACATCAAGGGCAGCGGGCTCATCCACTGCGCCTGTTGGACCAAGGAAGGCAACCGCCTGGTTGTGGGGGTGGGCAGTGCCCTCCATTCTTACATTTGGGATGATGCTCAGAAAACACTCAGCGCTTGCTCTTTTTGTCCAATCTTTGATGTGGGAGGCTACATCTGTGCCGTGGAAGCTACACAGAATTTACAAGTCGCTGTTGCCACCGAGCTCCCTCTGGACAAGATCTGTGGCTTAAATGCTGGTGTTGCCTTCGAAGTTCCATCGAGCGTTGAAACTGAGTCCTTCCCCTCACAGTCCAGCTTGTGTGGGGAGGAAGAGTATTCCTTGGATGGAGGGAAGAAGTCACTGGACTCTGAGAAGCCCTTGTCTGTAGTTACATCTCCTGTGGACCTAACTCACATACTGTCTAGCAAGCAGAGTGCTGATTCCAGCCCTCTCCTTCACCTGAGGCCCAAGGACTACCTGACGGGAAGTGGCCAAGATTCCTCACACCTCATCTTGGTGACTTTTGAAAGAAAGGTTACCTCTACTAAAAAAGTGAGCATCCCAGGCATTCTTGTTCCTGATATAATGGCTTTTGACTCCAAAACTCAAACTGTATCTGTTGCCTCCAATACTTGTAATGTTATTTTAGTCTATTCACTGACTTCATCCAATTTACCCAATATTCAACAGATTCAGCTAGAGAAAAGTGAGAAGCCAAAGGGTTTGTGCTTCTTGACCAATAAATTGTTACTGATACTGGTTGGAAGACAAAAATTCACTGACCCTGCTTTTCTTCCTTCTTCAAGATCAGACAAATACATGATCCGATTGATGATTAAAGAACTGATACTTGAGATGGGTCCTTCAAAATCTGTGTCAGCTGATGGCAGCTCCAGTTTGAACCTTTCCAATGTTACTCCTGATCCCTCTAGAGATGTCCACCCTCTCAGCCGTGGGCTCCTGATACCAGATCGCTCTGCCCTTCAGTCCCCCACAAGCCGAAGGAAACTCATTGAAGAAATCAAGAGTCCTGCTTATGAACAAAACTTGGTGTTGAACATCAGCGACTTCAAAGACAAAAAGATTTCCATTAATTTTCCTCCAGCTGTCGAGACTCTGGATGCTGAGCCAGTTAATCGGAGCATTGCGCTGTCTAATGCTTCCAACAAGCCAACATCCCCAAAAAGGCAGCATGAGGCAGCTTCCAAAATACCCAATTCTTACAAGAATAACCTGTTCAGTGAGAAGGAGGCGAGTTGCTTTTTAAAAAATGTGGAAAAATTGTCTGGTAACTTCACAGAATTGCAGCACCATCTTTCTGAATTAACTGAGCTGCTAAAATCTGGGAAGAGAAGTCTTCCAGTATACCCATCTTCTCAGGAGCCCTCATTTATTAAGATCACCTGCCAGGTAATTTTAATATTGGAAGCCTTAATGGTGAAACCTGTTTATGGCTGTATGTTCTTTGTAATGCTCAAGTAACAGTGAGTAGGATTAGATTTCCATCCTGTTCGTGCAGGTAGTTATATATGGTTATAAATCCTTTTACTCTGCAGGCTTCCAGTGTTTTTAAACCAATGGGATATCCAGGAATGTGCAGCCTCCTGCCCCACCTCACACTGGGCCAAACCCCTCAGCTCTGCAGTGAGGCTGCTGGGACTCCAGAGGACCCACATGTTGCAGCCCAGCTGTAGAATTAAAGCCCTTTATAGAGATCTAGGAAGGGAATGCTTTTCCTAAGCAACATCTAAAGCTTTCTGTATAGAAATTTAGACAAGTGAAGATTTCCATGTGTGGGAATTGGTATCAATCTCCTGTTCTCCTGTGAGGAAAACTAAAATAATGGAGACTGAAACAAAAGCAAATTGCCTTGGCTTTGAAACAGAAATGTTGCTAATTAGCATTGAGAGCACCATCCAAGGAGGAAAGAGACCTTTAGGGACACAATAGATAATTCCATTAACATGGCTTAAAAATGGATTTAAAGTGAAATTCCACGTGAAAAACACGTTGTTTGGCTGAAAGATTTGCTCTTGCAAATCTCATGCTAGAAAGGGTAAATTACCTGATTATCAAAACCTGGCAGAGATCTACTAGTCATTTCTAGAATTCAGATTAATTAACCTTAGTCAATATTCAAAGTAATTCAAGCTGCCATTTTCCTTTCAATTAGCTCTTACTTTTAATCTTTATTATTGCAAAAAAGTCCCAATTTTGTAGCATTGAATTCAAGTTCTAGATCATATTCCCTGACTCTCTTCACTGTTTTCCATTGTAATCATTTAATAATTGTAATAACAGATTTTAAAAAATGCCTTGCTGTGCCCAGCTGGGCATATTCTTTGAAGATGCTTTTTGGATTGCTTGAGGCAGTGATGGTCGGGGTGGGACAAATAAGCCCTTCTGACTTGTGACTCTGTTCCTCATCCCAGCATTCATGACCAGGAGTTCTCACTTCTGAAGTTTTGGATCAGGGATGGATGGGGAAGCGTGGGGATAGAAAACCTGAAGCTTTACAAGCTCCCTGGGGAAATGGCCCTCACGGATGGAATGATGGGGATGAGGATTGTGTTGTGGATGAAGCCCATGGTTTCTTCAGCAGCAGTGTGTGATTTTCCCCCCTGTTCTGACATGCTGGATAAGCACTGTTCCTTGCTGCTGTCACTCACTCATGAGCACTTTGACAGCTGAGACTTCAAAGGATAAATCTGGCAAACAGGCCTGAATGTGTGTAGCATTTGACTTTCTGTAAATAATGCCACTGAAGACACATCTGTGATCCTGTTGTGATTAATGCCATTTTAACTGTACATCACAGCAGCTAATGACTGTTGCTTGCATTTTCAGAAGCAGCTTTCCAAAAGTGATGCAGATGAAAGTCGGACTGTTCTTCTCTGTGGTGGTAAACTCCGCCTAAACATCGTGCAGCAGATATTCAACCTCTCCCTGGTAGAAATGCAGCACGGTATGTTGGGATTATCCAAGAGTACAAACACTTCTAACACCTTGCCAGAGAAGTTGTGGCTGCCCCATCCCTGGAAGAGTCCCACAGCCAGGCTGGATGGAGCTTGGAGCAGCCTGGTCTAGTGGAAGGTGTCTCTGGCCATGGCAGGGGAGGGGAATGGATGAGTTTTAAGATCCCTTCCTACCCAAACCATTCTGTGATTCTGTGTGTCATTCTTAGTGAGCATTAGCAATATGCATATTCCATCCAGGGAAAAACCCAAGGAATAAATAATGAAAGATTATTAAAATTTTGACTTTTTTTAAAAATAATGTAAAAATTCGTCTCTGAATCTTCTTTTACTGAGAAGAATCTTTGCATTATTAAAAAAAAAAAAAAAGAAGAGCAAACTTACATATTGATGCCCTTATCAAGTAACTAGTTTTACAGGAAAATTGCTTTCAGCCAGTGTTTTACTTGTTTTCAGCTGCTCTATAGAGAGAAGTCTGAGTAACAAGGAGAGTAGGGCTGACTGGTGGTTTTGGAAGTACAGTGTTCTATATTTGAATCTGTGGCTGCAGCATCTAGACTTGCTGTAGGAAATCCTGTAGCACAGAAGCAGCTCTCTGTACATTTCAGCAGTGCATTCCACATCAGTTTTTGCTGTGAGGAAAACTGCCTCTCTTCCTGCTGTGTTCTCCTCTGCTGTTACCAGTTCATGCTGTGCCCATTCCACGTGTTTGTGTACATGTCAGTTCTGAGTGCCTCACTCTGGGCAGAGGTAGAAAACACACTTTGGGGTATGATTTCTCACTACTACAGGTATTCCCTGTGCTATATTCCATCTACTTGCCCCCTGTATCTGCTCTCCCCCTGCTTGCAGATCAGTGAGCAACCATCCCAAAGCCTAAGGCTGCTGTTCTTGCCATTGTCCAAGTTTTATTTCTCCTGAGGAATTGTTGAGGGAGTATATTTGTTTGAAATATACAGATGAAAAGTAGGAATGGTATTTTCAAATCCTGAGTTGTATTGATTTTCAAGTTTGGTCCAAATTAAGCCAAAAGATTAGAGGGTTGTGTGCTTTTAAGCTACAATCTTCTTGTGACCTTACTTGTGACCTAAAGTTACATAATACAAATTTACAAACAGCTGGAAACGCTCCTCTGAATTCCCTTACCCCTCATGAGCTCTATTTTTTTGCTTCATCAGCTTAATGGATAAAAATATAAAAATTTTCTGGTTTATCTATATTGTTAGAAGTCAGGGTTTCAGATTCTAACTGTAAAGAAAAAAGTTAGTGAGGAAGTCAAATAGCAAATGGACCAGAGATTCTGGGTTTGTACAGTATTGTAAAGTGTTCCTTCCTTGCATTTCTTGGAATTAAGTATAGTGAAATTACGTAATAAAAGCAGTTTCTACATTGTCTTTATTACATTAATTTGTCATTTAATTTACGAAATCTCTGCTTTTTGTAGTATCTGCATAGCTTTGGCACTGTGAAGTAGCTTATCAATACCTAATTAAAAGCAAGTTTTAATGCTTATGAATTCTGTTCAGAATTTCAATCCTCCTCCTCATTTGAAGCATGCATTTATTGTCTCCTCTCCTAGTGGCAAAATCCATCGTAGTTGCCAAGTGTCCTTTATTTTTGAGATTATACCACCTGTATATTTTCACACTTTTTCTTTTCTAGAAAGCTGTAAATATACAGAAGCATTTAATTCTAGAAGAAATTTGTTTTTTACTTTAAACATACCCAAATTACACGAAGATTTATCAACAGCCATGTGCTTGTCTTCACAGGTTCCTCTTGGATCGTTCTCACAGCGGACAGCGAGGGCTTCATCCCGTTAATGTTTACATCCACACAGGAGATCCTCATCAGAGATGCCACTGCAAAAGGCTACAGCGCCCGCTCCTCCAAAACTCTGGACATCATCAGTTCCACTCAGGGGTGTAGATCCACTTCTTCTGAAAGCCTGGATATCACCAGTTCTCTGGAAGTCCTGAGGGACTGCTCCTCCAAGACCTTGGACAGCATCAGCCCATCAGAACAGCCCAGCAATTAAATGTAGTTTTTGACAGTGGTTTTGTAATGCCTCTCTGATGATGGGAGGCTTTTATGTTTACTGTATGGGACTGTGAATTATCAACAACAGTCTCAAATCTCTGTACAATTTCTATAATTTTTTGTTGCATTGTAAATTATTTATTTGATCCTTGGAAATGTTAACTTTTTTTTATACTGAGCAGTGTTTTTTAACTATGCCTCTTGCAGTACAGATGAGGTTGAAAATGTGCATTCTTAAAAGTTTCTGAGCTCAAGTTTCCATCTTGGTCTTTAATACATTGGTGGTTTTAGATAATAGTAAACTTGGATAATAAAGAAATCTTTGAAAATGCTGCATTGTCTCCCATTTCCTCTCTTCTGCCAAAGCCTGAAATATTGTGCTGATGTTGTTTAGGGCAGTGCCTGCAGAAGTGCACCTAGGTTTGCTCTGGTGTGAGCACCAGTGTAAGGTCATGGAGTTTGGGACAAAGTAGGATTATGTGAAATATCCATATTGTGTGGAAGCAAGATCCTTTTCCCCTCCTGTACCTGTCCATAACAGCTCTCTGCTTCCATCTCTGTGGATGTGGGAAGTGGTTGCCACATGTCTCATCCAGCTAAAGTCTGACAGAAGAAAATGTTCTATGGGCTTTTGTAGTGAGAGAGAGAGAAAATGCAAAGGGGAAATGTAGAAAAAGTTTATGTAAGCACAAGTTTATGTAACATGATTGCAGCACTGAAGAAAAGACTAATCCAAGATTGCTGCCCATAAAATCACAGCATGATAACTTTAAGCAGTTTATCAGGCTTTCACAGTGGCACTTACTGTGTGAGAAGGCATCAAGCAGCTAGATTATAGAATTGGAGCTGCTGTCTCAGGACAAAGATAATCTCTTTTTTTTTTTTTTATTGCCTATTTGGAAATTTAGCAACTGTCAAATGAAATATATCCACAAACCCACAGTATTAAAGATACAACACTAGCAAAAACTGCAGAGAGCACTCAGCGTTGGGTGGTGAAACTTGAAGTTACAGCTTTTGATGAACAGGGAAGAAGGAAAACAGGTGAAATAATTTGGCAGTTGTGGGCTCAATCCTTTACATAACATGTCTACTCAGTAATGATCACTGTTTCGTCAGAATGTGGACCATGATTACACCTGTCCTTACCAGAAAGTCACTGAAACCTCAGCACTGGGCATGGGTTCAAAGCAGGCTGGATGCTGGGGATGGTCCTTGTTTCTTCACAGCTGCCTGGTAGTCCTTTTTCATGCCTGTTCCTGATTCCAACATCCCACTAACCCATGGGAGGAGAGCGTCAGGGCTGAACACTCTTGGCTCTGCGGAACACCTTGACTTTGAATTTCTTATGCCTCAAATGCTGCTTCTGTAATTTTGTTATGCAGCCAAAGAGTATACAAAAATTATTTGCTTATTTTGGAATTGTTACTATTTGTGTAAGATTGACAAGAGAAAGTGTCTCCCACCAGGAGTGTGCTCAGTCTCAGGTTGCACCTAACAGAATTGTGGAGTTCTTCCATCTCTCCAGGTGAGCACCAAGGACTTACCTGTGCACAGAGCAGTACTGTGTGGGCTAAGTGGAGCAGACACAGCAAGTGCAAGACACCTGCTAAAAGCTGTTAATAGTTTGGTCAACAGATTACACTGGCTCTTCATGATGCTCTGTGCATGTGGACAAATACTGCATTTAAAATATAATCCTAGGAATCTTGGAAGAATAAAATTCCTATGTTGAGACACTTGCTTATTTCATGGAATCACAGAATCATGTGAGTTGGAAGGGACCTGAAAGATCATCTAATTCTGACCCCTGCTGTGGGCAAGGACACCTTTTACTAGACCAGGTTGCTCCAAGCACATCCAGCCTGGCCTTGAGCACGTCCAGGGATGAAGCATCCACAGTTTCTATGAGCAATTTGTGCCAGTGTCTCTCCACCCTCACAGAAAATAATTCCTTCCCAATGTGTAAACTAAACCTGCTCTCTTTCAGTTTAAAGCCATTTCCCCCGTGTCTTTTACCACATGCTCTTTTAAAAATTCCCTCTCCAGCTCTCTTGTCGTCACTGGAAGGGGCTCTAAGGCCTCCCCTGATTCTTCTCCAGACTGAACAACCCCAGCTCTCTCAGCCTGTCTCCACAGCAGAGCTGCTCTGGCCATCAGAGCATCTTCATGGCCTCCCCTGGACTCACTCCAACAGGTCTGTATCCCTCATATATTGGGGGCCCCAGAGCTGGACACAGGACTACAGGTGGGATCTCACAGGACTCCTCCCTCACCTTCTGTCCACTCTGCTTTTGATGCAGCTCTGGACACATTTGGCACACTGATGTGCAACAAAAGCACATTGATGCACATTTGGCTTTCTGGGCTCCGAGCACACATTGCCAACTTTCACTGAGCTTCTTGTCAACCAACACACCCATGTATTTCCATTCAGGGCTGCTTGATTTCAAAAGGCTATTTCTAAACTTATGGGATGCCTTCACCAAAGCTGAATATTAAAAGAAGGCCCAAATAGTTGGAAAAAATACCAAGCCTAATCCAAGAATCCTTAAGAGAAGACTGCAGGGATTTAACAAACTTTCTTCCCTTATGGCTTTTCTTTCATGCCTACAAGTCCCTTTGGGAATTCTGGAGTTGCCCATTCTCTCTGCTAGGCCAGCTTAGTACAGCTGAGTCTTTGCCAGGAGTCTGGGGTGGGTGCAGTTCTGCTTCATCCCACACTGATGTCAGCAGGTACTTCTGTGCACCGAACCCACGATCCAACACATCCAGCAACTGTGGGAATTGTTGAACCTGCTGGATGTGGAAATGTGCAGATTCTATTCCATGACTTTGAAGGCGACCAGAGAGGGAGTTTATTTTGGAAACACAAGGGAAGTTAAGTCCTCATGGGCTTCAGCCAGTTTGAACAGAAACTTCTCAGCCAATGTAAACCTGTTCCATCATCACGGTGACTAGACTTGGCAGACGAAAACATCCTTTAGGTAAAACAGTTGAAATTCCATGATGGAGAATACTAAGGTGCAAAGGGAATTATTTTGATCCTTTGCTGAATGCAGATGATGCCATGTACATCAGCAAAAACAGGCTGTCAGGGGATGGGTGCTGGACCTCCAAAGTGGAGTTTTATCAGTGAAGCTGAGCAAACAACCATCATCGGTTCCATGAGACCTGAGCAATTCTTCTTCACCATCTACAGCAGAGCACAGAAAAAGTGAGGACAGACATCTGAATGGTGTGGCTGAAATTCATAGTCTCTTCTCAGATCATTTGGAGCAAGAAATAGATCAGGAAATAAGGATTATTTCTGTTTCCACATTTCCAGAGCAAACACACATTCCTCAACCATCCAGCAGTTCTGCTGCTCTCCAGCTGGGCTTGGAGGCTGCCTCTCTGTAATGCCCCTAAAAGTGGTACTGAGGACCCAACCCCTCTGAAAAGTGCCACAGCTTAAAAGTGTCCTCTCTTTGTTCAGCTCTATCATGCCAGTTTGTGTCTTCAGAGACTGTAAATTCCTGGGTGTTACACAGCAGAAAGTTTCTTCCTCTGCCTCCAGGACAGGCAAATGTTGCTCCTTCATCTTCTGAATGAAGCTTCTCAGTGAGTTAGCATCTGGTTTGTGCAGCAGGTTTGCTGTTTGTGAAGTGAAAGCCATCTGATATCATACTTTAAGCCTACAGCATATACACGTTCTTGTAACCATAACACTCAGCACTCTTGCTGAGTAGCTGAACTGCAGAATTGCAGAAAATTAAAACCTTCAGTGAAATTGCACAAAACCAAAATTCCCTCCTGCGCCCACCCGTTGTATGAGTCCAACTGAGTTTCAGTCCAGATATCTAAAGGAAAAGGCTACTGTAACACTTTGAGACTGTTTTTTCATAACTATGATATGAAATTCATATGATGTATATGATTGATCACTAAACTGCTGTAATCTATTGGGTGGGACTTTGAGCTAACTTGCCCTCTCTTCATCTTACAGCTGGACAACAAATACCAGGTTTGAAAGGATCCAAGTTTCCTTAGTGAAAACTCCTTTCAAGAAGATTGATTTAAGTCTGTGTTTTCTGTCTACAGCCCAGAAAGGCAAGTAGAGAAGTAAATGAACAAGTGATATTTGGAAACAAACTCTGAACTCAAAAGTGGTTTGTTTTAAAACATTTTCCTCTTCAACTACTTTGCTGAGAATGCTGAAGGTGAATAAAGATGAGAGGATGCAGCAGGGATTGAATCAAGCAGCAATTGTTATAAGGTTCAGGAGTGACTTAAGGAATTAGTACTCAAATCTTCAGAGCCCTTCCTGAAAAGCCAGTGACCTGACACAGAAGGTCCCAGCCTTCAGGGACTCCCCAGGGACAGATGTCTGAGGTGGTGTCCACCTGTTAACGTGGGGGACTCGGCAGAAGGGATCTGATCCAGCTAAGCCAAGGTCGGTCAGTGAGCTCGGGGACAGGCAGGGGACAGCAAGGCAGGAGGGGAACACAGAGGCACAGCTGGTGGCCAACAGCAACCCCCTCCATCAGTGCCTGGTGGGAACAGCAGCTGGGATATGGGGTTACTTGATCACCAGCAGGAACCTTTAGGGAGGTGGGGTAAGCTTGGAAGGTGTCAGCATTGTTGTAGGCAGGAAAAGCAATGAAACTGGAAGAGAAGACTGAGTTGATGGTTAGACTTGATGATCTTCAAGGTCTTTTCCAACTGTAGTGATTCCATGATTCTATGACTGGTGACCAGCTCAGCTACTGACTGCCAGTAACCAACCCAGTAGGGAAGATTTGGGCTGCCCTCACTACACTTCAGCAAGGACAAGGAATTGGACATGGCTTGGCTTGCAGAGCAATACCCAGTGACACACAACTCTGTTATCCTTCTCTTTTCTTCCCATATTTGTTGGAATTGCCTGTGTGCTGGTGGGGAAGTGCTGTCCCTTATGTACCCAGCTGGTTTAATCCAATCTCCCGTATTCTTATTTAATGTATTTGGATATTACCTGAAGGAGAACCCCTGGGAATTAAACCTGGCTCCTGTTACTGCCAGTCAGCGGGAAGGCAAGAGGTTTACGTTAGATTAGCATTTAATCTGAATGCTTGTCAACATAAAAATTTGCTTCTTTCAGTCACATGTTCTGAACATGCATAAGGCATAAATGCCATTTAAAACTGACAAGAGACATATAAATCTCTTTCATTTCACTGCACCAACATTGAGCCTAAGAAAAGTTCAAAAGTAATCTTATCCTGCACTTAATCCTCCATTCTTCTGATTTGCAAAATTACACCCATTTTCTCAGCAAAATTACATCAACATTATATTTCTGATAATGAAATAAAATAATGAGATTTTCAAAATATGAAAATAGTCTGCTTCACTTAATGTACAGAAGCTTTATCTTTTGTTTTGGCAGTTCCTGTTGGTACCATATGCAAAGTGAGGACTGAGTATATTTCAGTGAGATAAAGATCACATTGTCTCTCTGGAGAAGAAGAAAACCGTTTACAATCAACCAAGTTTACCTTCCAAGAGTCTGAATTCAGACTGGGTGTTATGCAGTTTTAGAGGCAACTGCACAACTGATCTAGAAATAGTATTGTAAGCCACATTCAAATGGCTCAACCCCAGCCACCACTTTCTGCAGCCCTTTTATCACTGGGCAAAGTGTTCAGTTAATATAAACTGACATGGACCCACTGCCTTGTAGCTACAGATTTATAGTAGCTGAAAACATATCCCATTAAAGCATTAACAGCCTTTACTGGGCCTTCTGATTATTTTTAAATGTGACTATTCAGAAATACACAAATATTACAGATTAAATCCAATGCTGCAAACTGTTCTCTGCAATGTTCTGGAGCTATGTGATATTGCTACATAACTTACCTACTTCAAAGAGCAGTAAATCTGCTATTTCAAATTCCATCAGACTCAAAATTATAAACAGGCTTATGGTTTTTATTGTTGTAAACACATATGCCCCAGGCATACATATCTTGGTTTGTCCAAAAACTGAAACAACGAAGAAAACAAAAAACCCCAGCCTTAGATGGCAAGTCAACAGAAATCCTAAATGAAGTTAACTCTTACCCACATACACTCCAAATATACTTCAGAAGCGCCCTCACAATTAAGCATTTTGAGGACAGTTCATAAGGCCTTTGACTTCAAACCTGCCTGACAAGGTTTCAGTATCAAACTCAATGAGACGCTCCGTGGTTGCACTGATTTTACATACCAGCGTCCTTCAGCAAAATCTTTCTCAGTTTTCCAGCCCAGCACTGTGAGCCACTTCCCTGATGGCCCTGAGCAAATTACAGGTGGCCACTTCCTCCAGGTGCTCCCGAACAGCAGCAAGCCTCTCCTCCAAAGGCACTTCTGGTACAGCAAAAAGGCACTCACAGAGGCACTCAGGGAAGGCAGTGGGATGAAACTCATGTCTTGTCTTGCATTGTGATAATTTCTTCAAGGTGAACAAACCTCTTGAGTTCCTCACTCTTCCTTCGAGATTTAGATATGTCTTCAGAGTCCCATCATTTTAGCTAAGGCTTGGAGCCAGTCTCTGGAACCATCACAGAAGCCAAGAATGAACAGGTCTGAACTTCAGTGCTCCAGAAGGTGCCTGAGATTAGGTGTGTCTTTCATTTAAAAAGTGTGCTCAACAGTATAAATCTATAGTAGAAATGAGTTGATCTATCTAAAGCATGACAACATCCCTGACTGGAAAAAGCCACCATCTAAAAGACTGGTATAGTCTCATTATTACAAAATAGGTGCAGGCTGAGACTAAAACCCATGCCATGGTTTTTTGTGAGGCAGAGAGCCTACACCATGTGAGAAATGGGTATGGTGATTACTTAAAGGCCAAAATTTAAAGAAATTTGAATTACACAATTTTTGGAAGGGACTATGATTTTCCATATCATCAGGGGAGATGTTGATTTTGAAAACGCGAAGTTCTCATTCTCTAACAGAGATCAGTTTACAGGTTTCAGAAAACATCAGTAACAGGAAATGCAGGGTTCTATTTCTTGTAGAATCTATAAACTTAGAGTACATCAAAATCTCTTTCAAAAAAATGAAAAAAATTCCTCAAAATATGTCTGCATGAGTGATTTGCTTAATTTCAAAACAAAATAAATCCTAACTTCATATAGTACACTTCAGGTTCCCAAGTGCTTTCCAAACACAATAGTGTGCAAGTTACAGGTAGAGATTGTGCTGAAAATCCACCCCAGCCCCCAAGGGTGAAGCATATTTTGAGTTAATACTTGGATGGTGCATCATGAATTGGACTCAATTACCCTTGTGAGTATTTTCCAATTCAGAACATTCAAAGATTCTCTGGTCACATTTACTCTTTTTTTTTTCCTCTTAATTTACAAATGCATAAAATCTCCCATGAACAGGATCACAGCTTCCCATGAATCACTGAAAAAACCAAACAAAAATCCCCAAGCCTTCAATAGCTTGCATTTCTGAACACGTGTAATGTCTTTTCTAGCACAGTACATGGAGTTAGGTGTATATTTGCACCATGGTCTCCTCTCTTGATTTCATTACTGGCTATGTCAGAATCATCCTTTGTCCTTTTTGATAAAATGTGAGCAGAGAAATGACCTAGAAAACTCTCACAGAGTTGTTGATGGGATGTGAGTCTGTGTTTGGAAAGCCACTGCATTCAGAGCTTTCAGACAGAGGTGTCCTTTTTGTGGCTGTCCAAGCTGTCTGTGTTTTGATGGCTTCTCCTGGTAAAAGCAGAACAAATGATACATGAACACACTTCTGGCTTTCGCTGCTGACTCATCAAGCTGAGTTTGGCAATCTCAAACAGCTGAGAACTCCAAGCAAGGTGTGGCTGTTCTGGACAATGACTGAAGCTCCTGAACAGAGGAACCATTCCCATTTTAGATTGTTTACCCTGTCCTCTCCAGTCTGCACGGAGGCCTTTGTCATATCTATTAACCCTATGCACATATCTTGGGTATTTTAGGGCAGGAATTGGTCCCAGGCACCCTTGCTTAGGTCCTGGAATGGACCTCTTAGCATGGAAATCAGTTTCCAATTCCAGTAAATTGGGATAATAAAACCAAGACAAAGGAACAACCTATATTTTTTGGTATTTTATCCATCAGTCTGCTAGGACTGTCCTTATGTATATCCTCAAGAGTTGACAGAGGTGGATGAATTTGAGCTAGACAAGATTTTCCTTGGAGAAGGAGGAAAAAGGAGGAAGGGAGAGTGACAGAATAAAAAACGAAAGAATAGCTCAAAGCTGACCTCTTTTTTTCTCCCACAATCTTTTCTGCCTACACTTCTAAATGGTTTGGATGTTTCTTGTATCCCATAAACACCAAGAATGCAGTCAACAACATAACATTTTCTTCTGTATAAAAGTAAATTGTAGCTATTCACATTACCCCCACAAATTTAATCTATGTAGAATATTCCTCTTTTCTGGCCTGAAACAATGTACCACAATAGTGCTTTGTGAGCCACTCCAGAGAAAACGTAAATAGGGCAGCTGAAATTTCTGATAAATGGTCCTCTAAGCAGGTTGTACTGCACTACAAAAAAGAGATACTGGAACATGTCATGGTCCCATTCCGTTAATAATTTGACTAAGAGCACATTGTTTTATTTTGTTGTAAGGCATATAGGGATTCCTTACAATAATAATTTTCACAGTATGATTAAGAGCTGCTGCGGGGGTGTTGTTGCTGTTTTACTGCCAGTCCAAACTTACCTTAACTCTTCAAGGGCAAGCTTTGTTTCTTTCCGACTTTCTTCAGTGATGGGGTAGAAAAGGAGTATAAATAAACCTAAAAGGATGAGGATGGCAGGGACTGCTCCAATGAGGAGTTTCAGTGTGAGGATCACATCATCTGACTGTCTGCATATCCCTGGCTTGTACCCAGTAAACCTAAACAAATGGAAACAAGTGATGTGTGTATGTCCAAAGCTAAAAGGCTGTTGTTCACCTGAAGGCTTCCTTCTCCAACCCTCCCTACTCTTCAAGAATTTTATTCCATTTTCCCTCCACCTCTCTTCCTTCTCCCCACTACATTTCAAATTGTGTTTTTCAAACCTCATTTTTGTGCTTGACTTCAGATTACTGCATTAGCTCTGCATTTTCTTGTTATCATATATAACATTTAGGTTCATTATTTGAAATCTATCCAATTGCTTGCATACTTTTAAAGAAAGGATTGTGGGATCCCATGTAAGGAAATAAACTGATGCCCAGCAAGTTCCACCTGAACATGAGGCAGAACTTCTTTCCTGTGCAATGACTGAGCCCTGAACAGATTGTCCAGAGAGGCTGTGGAGTCTCCCTCACTGGAGATATTCCAGAACCATCTGGACACAATCCTGTGCCTGTGCTCTGCGATCACTCTGCTTGAGCAATGAAGGTTGGAAGCAGATGAGCCGCTGTGGTCCCCTCCAGCCTACCCATTCTGTGGTTATGTGAAATTAATCTGTTATGTGTTTCCTATTAATATTCAGCAAAGTATTCAAGCTCTGCTTTAAAAGCATGGAAGTAATTTCACCAATTTCAACAGCAATAATTAATTTTAATTTAAACACACACTTAAGCACTCGTCTCAAGATAGACAAATTTACTCAAGTGCTCAGAGTTAGGTACACTTCATTGATTCAGGGCTTCCATGCAGTCCCACAACTGCTGATATACTCAAATTCCTACTCCCAATTTGTGGAATGAGTTTTTCTTCTGAACATCCACCCAATGAAAGCTCATTTGGCATCGCTCTGTCTTCTGTGTTCTCCCACAAACATCTGCCTTGGCAAATTACTGGGACCCAACTGGAATGCAATTGAAAAGGAACTAATTGGGGAACAGCGAATTGTTTGAAGGTTTTAGCAATAAGCAGTTAAATCCCTAAGCCCAAAATATTCAGCCAACATTGCCTGTTATTTAGCAATTTCAGCTCAAGGCCCCAAAGCAAAACATTCTGGTTACCAGAACGTAATCTGGAGCTGAGGGCTAGATTTTCCTTCTATTTATTGTGTGCTGTAGCAGGGACAGGCACAGGCCCTTTCTGCCAGGTCTTGCACAAAGGGAGGGCAGGAGATGCCTGGCCACTTACTCAACCTGTCTGGTCAGAACAGACAAGACCAAGTGGAAAGAGACCATAAACCCTCTCCTAAAGTGACATGGTCTAGGGGACAGGGAGAGCTGTGAGAAAGGCTGTTCCTGACCCTGATCAGTATCCAGTTCCCTAAAACCATGCAGGAACTGGTGATCCTTTCATGCTGAACATGAAAGGTCTCTGGCACCCCTGAAAGCACTCCAATCCATGTAAAGTCTTACAAGCTCATAGAGTCCAGTTCAGGTGCAACAAGGAATGCACAAAGCACCTGTATCACCTGTGGGGGACCTTCATCTGCTGCACCTTCGTGTTTAGTTCTTTATTCATATAAGCCACTAAAATTTACATGAGTAATTGAAAAGAGGAAAATCTAAAGGGAAGTCAGGTTTGTCTGAGTAGAACAATGTCAGGGCAAGTAACTTAATGCTCAGTTGTCTGGCCTAGATGGCACCAATCCTGTCTTTAGTGGTCAGCCATCTGGAGCTGCTGGCACTTTCAGGCTCAGGGCATGAATGCAATTAACTCCACAGGGTAAAAGTGTTGTAACCTCAGAATGCTTTCAGAGTAGATCCACTAAGCGGAAATGCAGTGTTACTTACTCCAGTCCTGCTGCAGAAATTCCTAAGCCAATTCCTGCTGACATCTTGGTAAAAAAAACATAAGAAGAATAGAAAATGGTTTCATGTCCTTTCCCATGAGGATTCTGCAGGCGAAAGTTATCAACAACATCAGGCAGCATTGACCTAGAAGTGAGCAAGATAAAAGAAAAACTCAATCCAAAATTTCTTTTTAAAGTCCAAACTTAATGAAATAGAGCACAGCCCTCCTCCATTTTTAAGCTGATTGATGTAGCCATGCATATGAAAGAATCCAGTTAAAAAGGTTCTACTCCTGGAAAGGAGGACAAAAAAATGTGTAAGAAAAGCATGGCCATATATTACAATGTGGAAAATCACTGAAAAGCCATCAAACACTTGAGAGGTGACATAATTTCCTAATCTGCCTGTCATTCCAACCAGAAGTTGTGATATTAAAAAAGAACAACAAAACCCCCACCACATTTCTTAAGATTTCAAGGGACTCTGAATGTCTGAATAGTTGCACTCTGAAATAACTCTTCTGACAAGGTAACAACATTTTCAGAAACCAATGAAACCTATTCTCTTTCCATTTCAAAGAGACTGAATTAGGTAATGGAGAATTAGAATGGAAGCTGCTTGAATGTTAATTGTGAATTGACATTTTATATCTAATATATGTAATCATTTACTGTTGGAAAAAGAAAAGCCTTCTCACCCTCTGTGCAGAAAAGCTTACATTGTCTGACAACTAATTTCAAACTATGTATTCCATGATCTCTTGGAATTTTCAGGGCATTATACAAACAAGTTATGGAAAACAGTGCTCTCAGCAATGGTCTTGCTTTCTGGTTAATATGATCTCAATAACAATTATTCAGTCTGAAGAGGAACTGTCCTGCCATGTTCATCCTTGGGTTGTTTTCCCGCACTTATTTTCAGTCTTCAGGTGCAAAGGACCTTGAATTCTTGGTTTCTTATACTCATAACCTTGTGTATGGGATCCATACCAAAGGACTACTCAAGCAGGGACACACAGAATCATGGAACGGTTTGGATTGGAAGGGACTTTAAAGCTCATCTCATTCCAGCCCCCTGCCATGGGCAGGGACACCTTCCACTATCCCAGGTTGCTCCAAGCCTCATCCAGCCTGACCTTAAACCCTTCCAGGGATGGGGCAGCCACAGCTTCTCTGAGCAATCTGTGCCAGGGCCTCACCACCCTCACAGTAAAGAAATTCTTTCTATAACCTAATCTAAATCTATCACCTTTCAGATTAAAGCCATTACCCCTTGTTCTATAACTTCATGCCCTTATAAAAAGTAAGGTTAGACATAGTTTGCCTTATGTGTCCTCTGCTACATTCTTAATTGCTCAGCATTAATTGATTTGCCTAACTTCATAATTCCTGAAGCAATGTTATCACACATAACATTGTGATAGTAGCTGTATAGCTACTTAGATTATTGATTAATTTACATGTTCTCATGTACAAAAAAGCAGCTACAGTTATGGTGGATGTAGTCTGTCAACAACAGGACAACAAGCTCATATCACTGTATATAGCATTCACTACAAAACCAAAAAAAGATTCTTAGAAGAAGTGACTCCTGCCATATCCTGCCTTTTTCAGAGGCAAATTCCATGCAGTAGTACATACATGTAATGCAGAAATATATCCATTCCCCACCTCAAATGTAAAATTCTCCTACCATGGCAAGAGAAGAGATGCTGCAATGCTCAGACCAGAGACGAAGGCCACGAAGTAAGCCAGGATCAGGTTTGGAATGGTCACTAGCATGACTGCAAAAGGAATCATCCACTGAAGAAGAAAAGCATTATATCTAGGTTACAGCAGGCACTGCTCAGTGCTATACAGATTGTTCTCTTCAAAATGCAAAACTATGTTACAGAACAGTTCACACACAGCAATGTCTCACACTTCAGTATTTTGGTCAAATTGCATTTCCAAAAAGCCCTGAGCCAATCTGCATTTAACTACCCAGAATAATTGGAGAAAAGTAGGACCATTGATAGTAGTGCTGTCTCTATTAGCAGTATTAGAGCTACAGCTGAACTAGTAAATTAAACAGACCCAAAACCCTATTTACCAGTCTTGAAGCCAACTCACAGACCCTGGCCACATTCCTAGTCCTAAACACTCATGGTCTCCAAAAAACCTGTGGCCATATAAACACTTTTTGTGAAGAGCCCTAAAGTGGTTGATTCCCAAACCATGCTAGATAGAATAACAGAATGGTTGGGTTTGGATGGAACCTTTAAAGATTATCTCATTCCAGTCCCCCTGCCATGGGCAGGGACACCTTCCACTAGACCAGGCTGCTCAAAGCTCCATCCAAATGTTCAAGCCCTGGTCTTGAACACTTCCAGGAATGGGGCACCCACATCTTCTCTGGGCAACCTGTGCCAGGGCCTCTCCATCCTCTGAGTAGAGAATTTCTTCCTAGTATCCAATCTTAATCTACCTATCAGGTTAAAGCCATTCCCTTTTGTCCTATCACTCCATGCCCCTGTAGGAAGTCCCTTTCCAGCTCTCTTGAAGCTGCTTTAGGCACTGGAAGAGGCTCTAAGGTCTTCCCAGAGCTTTTTCTTCTCCAGGCTAAAGAGCCCTAGCCCTCTCAGCCTGCCTTCATGGTACAGGTGCTCTAACCCTTTGATCATTTTTGTGGTCCTCCTTTGGACTCACTCCACCAGGTCCACAACCTTCTGAGGTTGTGGTTCCCAGAGCTGGATGCAGCATGGCAGGAGGGGTCTCATGAGAGCAGAGCAGAGGGGCAGAATCCTCTCCCCCAGCTGCTGCCCACACTGTTTTTGAAGTGTTTGGTTTTGTAGGCTGCAAGTTCACATTGCTGGGTAATCTTGAGCATTTTGTTAACCAACACCCCCATTTCTTTCTCCTCAGGGCTGCTCTCAATCCATTCAATGCCCAGACTGTTTCTGTGTTTGGGGTTGCCCTGACCCAGGTGCAGGATCTTGTTCTTGGCCTTGCTGAACTTCCTGAGGTTCACATGTGCTCACCTCTCAAGCCTGTCCAGGCCTCTCAGGATGGCATCCCTTCCCTGCAGCGCGTCACCTGCACCACACAGCTCAGCAAACCTGCTGAGGGTGCCTCAGTCCCTCCCTCCATGTCCCTGACAAGGATGTTGAACAGCCCTGGTCCCAGAACAGCCCTGGGGATGACACTCCTCACTGGCCCCCACCTGGACACTGAGCCCTTGACCACAGCTCTTTGGGTGCCACCATGCAACCAATTCCTTATGCACTGAGTGGTCCATCCACCAAATCCATGCCCCTCCAGCTTACAGACAAGGATATCATGCAGGACAGTGTAAAATGCTTTGCACAAGTCCAGCTAGACACTTTCAGTTGCTCTTCCCTTATCCATGAACACTGATAATTCTCAGGAGATTGCTAATCAGCTTGGACAAAGATTTTTCTGCCAGTTAAATAACAGAGATCACCAAATGTCCATTTCTATTCTAGGCACTGGAACTATTTAATTTACTATTAGAGACAATGCCTTAAAACATCCTCACACTGCATTTCAAGGGGAGTGGCAGGGTCATTTTAAACTGTAAATACACCATTTCACAGATCACCTTCAGCCTTGATGAGGAAGAATTTGCTTTCATTTCCAATCACCACTTTAAAGCCGTATGCATACTCAGCAATAAATAAACCCAAAAGTCAGAGTGGTTTACTCCACTCCCCACAGCCGGATCCACTCATGACACTGCATGACAGCCACAGAAGTTACCCTCAAAACCAAATTAATTTGGGATGCTTGGGATTTGTTTTCTGGCAGTTGTTAGAGTCACTAGATTTCTTCAACTTCAACTTGAAGCAATGGGCTTACAGGATTGAAAATCCACTATTTTAAATGTTGATTGAATGCCTACTGCCCAGCTGTCCTATACCCGTCACATGCTCCATCTCCCATGCCTGTGAACCACAGGCACAGCAGCACATGTAGAATCCAGAACCAGGGGCTTATCTACAGGGCTTTTTAATGATGGGGATTAGTTTAACATTAAGTGTTTCAATCCTCTATACGTGCAGCTTGGGAGCTGATGGCATAAGAGCTTTCACAGAGAGTGATTCCCCAAAGCACTGCTATTTACAGTTCTGTATGATGAGTGATTCTGGGAGTCCTAGAGTCTAATCCATTATGTTTATGTTTTAAATGCATTCCCCATCTAAAGCATTTGCTCCCAAGCTAAGGAGGCAGAAAATAACCTTTTCTGACTGCAAGTTCCCAGCACAGGCAGATAATCCTTGCATTAGCCCGGTGTTGTGGCAAAATCGTTATTTCACCACAAGAGAGCACTCCAGCAATATCAGATTTTATGTTGTCTATAAGCAATTTTATGACTGCCTTATGCTCCACATAGGGCACCCACTCAGCAAAGCACTTAAACAAAATTCCAGATCGATACTAATAATCATTGTAACTGTAATTTCCTGGAGAAAGAGAAGCAGGGCCAGCAGGACTGAGGTTACAATGCCCTAAAGCCTCGCTCATGCAGTGGCAGCGCAGTCATGGGGGCAGTGCTCCCACTGCAATAAACAGCCAGTGCAGCTCCTTCTGTCTTACTTGCAAAGCAAATACTCTGTTATTGGCATCTGCTCCCTGCTCACAAGGCTGCTGCCCTCTGGGTTATAAACCAGATCCCACAGTTATCCCGTGCCTTCCATCCGTGCCCTGGCAGCGCCGTGCAAGGTGACCCTGCTGGGATGCTGAGGGTGGCTCTGGTCTCTGCAGCAGCACATTGTGAAGGGCAAATCAGGAAAAGGTGCAGGGAGCATGTGAGTGGAAACAGAATGGGAGAGTGGAAATGGGGCTGCAGAGCCAGGACTCATCCAAAGGCATCTCTCCATGCTGCACAGCGCTCACAGATGGCAAATAAACAATTGCATATCTGTGAGGAGGTGCTCTTATTTTCACTAAATCCTGCAAAACCCACTATTGGCTAGGATGGAAGCTAGAGTTGTGGAAGAGAGCCGTGTTTGTTTTTAGACGCCTTGCCAAAACTGTGAACCAAGAAGATGTCACACTTCTTAAAATTTCTCGTGACAACTTCAATTCCAGTCACCAGCTGAGACTTACCGAGTGTAAGTTCAGTGTTTGCCCCGTGAGGGCAGAGCAGACACCTAAATGAACACAGCACGTGGAAGATGAAGGAAATAAACAGGAGAGAATAATTTCCAGCTTGTGCACCAACGTGGTTCTGGATGCTATCCACAATATGCTAAGAATTATATCAAGTATCCTGCTTGGGAGCAGGCTAATTCCTGATACTTCCAGAAATTCTAGGTTTTAAACTTCTAGGAACTTGAGATACTTAATCAGTAGTAAGACTTGTTGGTCATCTCTTTTGGGGGAATGGGTAAAAAGAGAGAAATGTCAATGGAAGAAACCCCAGATTCTTGTTGCTTATCTACCGCTTCTAAACTTTTTGAGGGCTCTCTTCAACACAGACTCACCTTAACAGGAAAAATTAGTCTGGAGCACTGTGACCTTTTTTTTCAGGAAACTGAATTTCCGATTGGAAATTCATGTTCACCCTGAAAGCTGAGTGAGGTTTTAGAGAGGAGAAAAAAAAAAAAAAAAAGTTTTCTTCCCTGTCTCCTTCCCTTCCAGTAGAACATTCCCCAATGACAATGACAAACTTAGGAGCCTTAAATGATGTGCTTTTATTTCATAGTGGGAGAGTACAGATTAGTTGTACAGATCACACCAGGTGGCAGGGTAGAAAGCTCCTGTGGTGCATTGTCAGACACAAAATCCATCACTGAGCACACACTGAGTCCCCTGAGAAATGTCTCCAAGGTGAAACAGAAAGGTGGCTTTTTTTTAATCCATCCCCCACTTAGACCATAACAGTCAAGCAACTCAACTGTAAAATTAAGTTAAACCATGTTTACAGAGGTGCTGACAGGCTTTCCAGTCATGTAAAACTAAATTTATAGAGCCAAGTTGGTTGAAGAAAGCATTTTTTGTAGCCAAGTAGACAGAGGAGGAGATTTCCTAAGGAGGAAATCTGCATTCCCAGGTCTAGTCAATGGGCCAATACTGCTTTTGGCAATTCTCTTTGCTCAAGTGGTAAAAAGAAATAAAGATGGGCCTCAAATTCCAGATACCTACTTCAAAACACATCACAATTCAACATATTTGGAACTTGGGTTTTAAAGTTACTTCTGATTCTCTGGAAGTCATTACAACACAGCTTTTAATTCCAAAAATTATAACTGTTCAACTCTGTCACCAGACCTAAATTTTTCAGCTTTGTTCAAATTTTGACATATAGCTTTGGGCTGGATTTTTCAAGTCCTCCTGCTTTGTTGTGCACAAGGCAATTTTTCTTTCCTCTTTCATAAGTAATTGAAGGTAAACAAGGGGAAAATGGGGAGGAACAGGCCTATACAATAACTCACCAAGGATGATGACAGAAAATTGCTGCTGTCTGCACTAAGTAAGGGACTTAAAATAATCCATCAGTGACAAGGGCAGGCTCACTGAGCTGGCTTTGCAGAGCTGTGTCAGAGTTAAACTAGGCTTCTTTTCTCAGGTAGGTCACCTCTTTCTTTACTTCACTAATAACTCTCCCTCCCTATTCAGAGGGATGTGGATGCTCCTAGAGGGGGTGTCTAACAGACTTTTGTTTCCTTCTGTGAGACTGCATTACAGACACCTCAGCAGCATATAACAAAGACAAAACAAGCCTTGCACAACAGATAACTTGTCAACATGAGGCAACTCAGATCTGAATTTATAAAACCTTATTGAAGCTCAGTTCTGAGATCTTCAAATGAGGAGAATTTGTGCAGATTCTTAAATAAACTGGGACCTCCCTCCAGCATCAATCCATTTCTCAAAAGTTTCCCTTGGAAACTTGGAATCTGTCTGAAATTTGGTATAGTGATTTAAAACAAACTCTGGAACGAGCAAATTTCACATAGATTGATGTTACAAGCACTTGAAAGAGCTCCTGAAGTGGCTCGTTGTCAAGCGAAATGAGCACAAGCAGAATTTTTTTCCTCAGAGGATTTGCTTACCGAAATCCCACATGCTGCACACTTCTTGCCAAATCTCTGCAGAAACTTCTGCCAGAAGGGAACGCTCACCACTGCTGATACCTACAAGGGACAAAAACCTGTATCTGTACTGTGCTTGCTTCCACTGTCTTCTTCAGCTGTAGAGCTCACAGACTTCTTTTTGTCTAGTACATAAAATCCTGAAAGGAAGGTGAACATGGAGATTCTTGCTTCTCCTCATCCTTTGAGTGACTTTTTAAAATTCATTGTAAAGCTATCCATCAGAGGGTTTTCTACAGTCAAATCTCAGAAAATAGTGTCTTAAAATTTCCTTTTCTAATGCAGGGCACAGCAGTCATAGCTGTGCTCAGTCATTAATGTTCAAACATACTGCAAACAGCCACACTTGGTGCTAATGCCTTTTGCCACACTGCCTGAACCTGACAAATGATGAGTGAATTTAGCTCTACCCCATGGTAGAGGAAGAAAGTTGAAGTGCAAGATGAACCTACCCTAAGATATACTTAAGAGTACATTCCATACAGTGTGTCCCTTCTTAGGAACAATCTGTAAGAGAAATAGTTGCTTGCAGTTGACATTACTGTTTCAGACACTGAAATACTCACCCACAGCAGCAACAACCACAAGCAATGTAGTACCTATGCACTGAAGTATTGCTACTAATGACAGCCTTACACTTGACCTTTATTTAAATGTCATCTAATTATTGTATTTCAGTCTTTACTTACCTTAACTCTACTGTCTCTTGTCTCTCTTCTTGGTGCAGAGCCTTAAGATACCCAGCACTCCTCTTTTGCTCTCCAACATCTTGGTTTTAATGGTTTTGGAAAAGATATGTCTTATAATGTGGGAAAGGGTAAGTATCACCTAAGCAAGCAGAATTCTACCTCTGCATGTTAAGAAAAAAGATTCTGTAAAAGGATCTTTTTGTCACACTGCCAATTGCTCTAGAGAGGAATCTTCATATTTCTGGGTATTTTAAATATTTATCCTTGTGAGCTGCCTAGCCCAGAGGAGTCATGTGTATGAATATGCAAATTGAAGTTGCTTAGTTTTCAGCACATAGGACTGGGGAAAGGGACAAAGGAGGTAAAATTCCAGACCTCCTTTCTAGAAGCAGATTCTGTCTTTTATAGAAGCTGTGGCTTACAGGTAAAAACAACAAGGAATGAATTAAAAGCTCCAAACCACTATTATTTCAGAAGTGCAGTAGGGAACACCAGCTTTACTTCAAACAGATGATGCAAAAGATAGTGTAACTTCCTAACAGCTCTGCTGAGACACAAAACTCTTCTTGTCTTCTGTAACTTTTTGCCAAAGTCCAGCGAGAGCCAGGTAACATTTGGGAGAGAAGTGCAACTCACCAAGATGGTCACCACCAAATACTGGAAGTGATTGCGGAGGCCGGCAGCGTGAGTGCAGAACAGGACAAAGTTTCCCTGCTCCAGCTGTGGAATTTCAGACATTTGGTGACCACCAAAAGACAAAGGAAAATTTTAAAAAGACAGAAATTGCATCACACTCCATGGTAGTTAAGTATAGTTGGTGACTGCTTTGTTTGGGAGTCTCATTCTTCCCTTGTTTACAACAATTTAAAGAAGCAGTAACTGTCCCATTACCATTGGAATAACATGCCAGTAATACTGGGGCAAGCAAGAGGCAAGCCACACCTAACAGAGGATAAAATTGACCAAAACAGAAATGGCCCTATGAAAGAATTCTGTCTTGAGGCTTTATTCCCTATGTCCCAGTTGCCTTGTGTTGTCTCAGCTGCAGGCTACTGCTAGAAACTGCCCTTTCTCTTCCCCAGCAAGGCCATAAATCTTTCTCCAGAAGCTCTGACTCCAAAACAAGTAACGTTTCAGCTGTAATAACACTCCTGCCAACTTCCTGTAGTAAAGCAGCTGGTTTTGTATGCACCCTCAGCTTTGGGCCAGATATCTCCCTACATCTGAATCCTCATCAGATGGGAGGATCTGACTGCACTGTGCTATGTGACAGGTGAAGCCACTGCCAGCACCATGCTTCTGCAGAACTCAGGGGGATTCTGAACACCAGAATATGATGGAGGGCCAGCTCCAGCAATTCTGCAGAAGCAGAGTGACAGAGGAGGGTTTAATACTCATGCCACAGCAGCGTGATCAATTCTTGCTCCCTTTGTGTGCTTGTAGATTACAGGTGGCCAATCACCTGTACACAAATTAGGATATCCAAAAAGTTGTATCCTATCTCTATTGCCACAAAGCCCTTCCTTAGTTTGTGTCCCTGTTTATGCTGCCCTAATTTTAGAAATAGGATATCACACTCTGGAATTACAGCCAATGCATCTTTACCTGCCTATTCCTTTTGCGGAGCAGTAATCCACTCTCTAAATTCCACAAAATCAGTGTCCCTCCCTCAAGTAACAGCAGCAAGGGTTGCTCATCCTGGCTCAACTGGCTCAAGCTTCTGCCTCCCCTCACACCTTCCCTTCAGTCTGCACAAACAGCAAAACACAGAGACATGGACTGACAGATGATCTTTTCCTCTCTGGGTGCTGCCAGCAAGTAGCTGGCTGCCAGCCACCAGATGTGCTCTATATCCCTGCTGACTGAGGGGATGCTGGAAGGATGTGGACAATAAGGGACCCTTCATCTTTCATCTTCTCCCTGTCTCTGCAGTTGCTCACAGTACCTGCAGATCCCAGACATGAGCAGAAATAACTTCTGTTATTGTTTCTCACCCTTGGGTATTCCAGCAAGGACTAGCAGCTGCTGTGCCCAAATCCAGGCCAACAAAAAAGTTCAGTGCTTCTTTGGCAAACAAACTTTTAAGCAGTCCTTCCAAGGAACTTAATAACTCACCAGGACTGCTGGTGAGCACAGCACTGCTCTCTTACATGTCATATTCTTGCCTTCTGTCCTGCTACTCCCTTGATCAATGGTTCACGTGACTAATAGTCTCTTGACAAAAATGTGATAATTATTTGCTTTTCAAAATAAAGCAAACTTCAACTGATATGTACAAGTTCAGAGTAAAATAATATATTTACTGAATTGAACATGTCCTAAAAGTGAAGCTTAAAAAGGCTGCTGTACTTATGGGGACTGAGGGTTTCTTACTGAGTGGCTTTTCTACAGCTCCTCTCTATGGGAGAATGCACTGCATCTTTTTGTGAGAACCACATCCAATTGTAGGTCCTCATTTCAAAATGAGCTCTACCTAACTCTGACACAGGTGAGACCTCCTGCCTCTGAATGTCTTCTTACTCTGACCTAATGCCTTCCATCACAAAAGACTCCACAAGACCCAGTTCAGCCACTATCTGAGAGCAGTCACCTACACAAAGGAGAGGGGCAACAGTTCAAACAGGGCACACAGAGGGAGGAACAGACAGAAGAAAAAAAGCATTCTCTAAGAAACTGAAACCACAGGAGACTGTGGATGGATAACACAGAATGACCCAGATTGGGTCACTAGGACTAGTTCTTCACTTTTTATGAAAAAAAAAAAAAAAAAAAAAAAAAGAACAGAAAAGAAAAAAAAGTCTTTAAATGGTCAGGACTTTGGCTTTGCTTCTCCTTTGTAAGAACCATCTCCAGCCACACAGGACCCCAGGCACCAGAAGAGGATTCTGGTTCCCTACTGATTTACAGGGGAAGGCAACACCCCCCAGATCACCCCTCCAGTCACCAGCCAAAGGTTATTTGCATTTCAGACTCTCCCATGCTGGGAGTGGAACGAGGCCAACAGACAGACTGAGAGGGTCTGAAGTTACCTGAACTGCTGTCGAGATGAGAAGAAATGAAGCTGTAAGCTTCACATATGGACCATGCTTCATGGTGAGTGCAAGCCCCTTACAAAAAGGAATTGCTCTGTCTGAATTTAAGGCATATGGATCTAAGAAAAGCAGAATGCATACAATAAAAATCTTTTCAATAAAGGAATGTGAAATAACTGTTATTAAATCGAGGCATATTTAAATATAACTTACCATCCCTTTCCTTTACTCCAAGAAAAAGAACGACAATTCCAAGGAGATACACACCTGCTATGACCCCTGCTGCAATCATGTAAACTTTTGCCTTTCAAAAGGAAAAAAATACATTTGAAATTTTGACAGGAGAATGACAAGTCATTATGAAAATTTCAGTCCCTTTTTGGTAAGCCACCTGCAAATGAAGAAATGCCCATCTGCATACAGCCAAATGCATCTGCTGCCTCTTAGAAAAATGTTCAGTTCTGCAGTTCATTTATAAACCACACCTGCCTTAGGATAAATTCAGGGCATATAAATATATATTTCTTGAAGGAAAAAAAAAAAAGAAGAAGAAGCAGTGAACAAAAGGGTTACTGTGCTGGCAACCTGAATGTTTTAAAAACTTGCTTATGTTGAGACTAACCACAGACATATACAGTCACCTAATCAAAACCATGCATCATCCACAGAGACATTCTAATTTTCAGTAAGTCCAGTTGATCTGGCTACACAGACTGCAATCTGGAATTTCATGGTGTATGGGAGAGTTCTCAGCACTGATGTCAACATAGGTACTACATTTTCTGCATTTACACATAATGATAATAATGTCACATGATGATAATAATGAATTTTAGAAATCATACTTACATGCCAATGTTTTGAGACTATGGTACCTTGCATGCTGGTTTTCCCAGTTATTTAGTGAAATATGCAAGCAAATTCAGAAATCTTTGCTTCCTTTTATCCAGGGGAGCAAACCCTCCAAGGATGCCTCTCACACCACCAGATCACATTTACTGTTTCTGACTCTGATTACACTGACTTTGAATTAAAGCTTTAAAAAATATTTTGCTTTAGTATGATGTAATACTTTTCCTTATACTGTGTTATCAAAGATAGCTTATAGAGCTTTATGAAACAATGATTACTTGATAGGAAAACTGAATTCTGCATTATTGGTTATATATTCTAGATGAAATTATTATAAGTCTAAGAAGAAGTTGGCAAAAAAAATGCAATTACAAGAATGCACTTCAAAATATAAAGACACTTAGTATAGGTGCAAATACATTCAGATGAACCATGTAAGCATGGAAAATTTTCAAGAAAACAGCTTTTGTTAAGATGTTTACATTTCAGAAAATAACTTGGTGAGATAAAGGAATGCAGGATTATTCTTTATATGGGATCAAGGTTTGGGATTTTTTTATATCAGACCTTTAAATTAAGTCACAATACTTTCACACTGCTGGTTGCACAGAATACAGAGTGCAGTAGTGGAGATATCTGAATTCACTTAAACAAGGCAATTTCAGCCTGAAATGTAGCTGGGCCAGGAGAGATGGGAATTTAAAAAAAAGGATAGTAACAGGACTCCTTTATGATGTTCATATTTTGTTTTAATGTATTTTTTAATTTGCTTGAAGCATTTGAATTAAATGTTGTGTTTCATAGGCCATCATTAAATATAATTTGAGCTTAAACCATCAAGGATACTCATAGGCCAGATAAGATTCTCTAACCTGAACAAAACTTGTTAGCCCATCTACAACTCTACAACATCAATACCCATGTTTGGTTTCCAGTAATAAAGATCCATTCATAAGCTTATAGTAACAACTTCAGGAGAGCTTAAAAATTACCATTTCTTCCACTTCCTTTTTTCCAGTAAGGAGCAAAATAATGCCAGTTGTTCACTAAGTGCTTTTTAAAACTAGGTGTGTTCTTGAGCAGCTAAGAATTAGTCCTTGTGACAAAAAGAGTCAGGGTCATACTCCTGAAGGGCACTAAAAGTCAAGTTTTGCCCTCTTCTAAATATTTCCTGATGGAGGTACTTCAAGTTCAATTAATCTAGTCTTGCCTCAACTTGTAACTTATTGCCCATCAGCCCAACAACCAAAATTCAAGATCCATCAAGATCCAATTCAAGATGTCCTCTTTATTGTGCAATTAATTAGGTGCATATTCTGCTGTGTGGTGTGAACAAAGGACAGGCTTCCAGTCACACTGCAACTTCAGATCTGAAAAATGTTTGTGTCTAAAAGCTTTTCCACAATTTCCAGTTTTAGTATCTAGTTTAATGAAAGATATTGCCTCTACCTACAAACTCTGGCTACTTTAGGCTATGGATTTTTTCTAATTTTTCAAAATAAAAAACTACTTAACATTCAACCCATTGTGAAGTTTCTTTCTCTGTCTCCCTCCTATCTCAAAAAGGACAGGAAAGCACATATGGTTAAACAGAAGGGAAATAAATCAAAATTGTGTAATTTTTTTTGCCTTGAAAGCCATTTCAGAGGTTTCAAAATAGAAATTGAGGATTTTAGTCTGAAGCAGATTCAGACAGGGAATCTGCTGTGCAATGAAATTCAGCTTGCTCCATGACTTTTCAAGCTACTTGACAATTCACAGAGGTGTAATAAACACAGTAGTGTTCCACATCAAACCATCGTCCCAGAAGCTAAAAAGGAGGGCAGGATGATGTTCTGTGTCTCATTAAAACACACTCTACAAGTTACAAGCATCTTCAAAAACACATTATTCAGCCATAAAATGGCATGGCCAGCTAGAGAAGCAGCCCAGCTGTCCTCAGACTGTTGCCCAGATCAGCTCTATGAGAAACCTGTGCCAAAAAAACAAGGATCAGGTGGCACAGAGGCAAAGAATAGTGTCTGGGAATGGGGGGAGGCAAGGCTTTGTCCCCTTCCTGGACCATCAGTGCTGATGCCTGAGTATGCAAATCCAAAACATAAATAAAAACATATCTTAGCTTGTGATTTTACTGCTGCTAAAGCATCATAATAGGAGCTACTCCACTGCATTAGGAAGAGCACAAATATGTACTTCCTCATTTGCATCAAACATTTGAGATTAGATTCAGGTCAAGGAATCTTCTTCATAGGGTATTTTATATACTGGTTGGGACTTGCACTGACAGAGCAACAAATGAAAGTATAAAAAGAAAGAATGAATCCAGCAGTTGGTAAATTGGAACCAACAATCTGCTGATTTCACAAGTGACATAGGGGAAAAAAAAACCACTACACAATGTAATTGTTTAATTCAGGGCCTGTTTCAAGACCACTGCAAACAATGGAAGACTACCAAATTGTGTTAACTGAGGTTTGGATCAGGTTTTAGGTTTTCCTCCCAGATACAAAACCTTCTTTGTTTCTCAAAAAATATAAAACTCAAGTACGAGGAGATTAAATTGTTTGTACAAAATTACAGGAAAAGCCTGTCATGGAAAATTAAATAAATAAGCATGGATGCCTAGGTTCATTCCACATGTTAACCACTGAGATCTGCCCCCACTAATGGGGTGTTACCAACCATTTACTTTCAACAGTGCTTTGTACCTTCACAAAAGTACAGACTGTAAATAGGACTTAGAGTTTTGTTCACAAAATTGCCATTAATCTCTACAGGAGATCTCCAGTGGTAACTCCTTTGGAAATCAGTGAAAGATCCTGCTGTAGCCACCATTTTTTCATGGAATCATACAATAGTTTGGGTTGGGTAGGACTTTCAAAGATCATCTCATTCCAACCCTCTGCCATGGGCAGGGACATCTTCCACTGGACTAGATTGCTCTGAGCCACATCCAACCTGGTCTTGAGCGCTTCCAGGGATGGGGCATCCACAGCTTCTCTGGGCAACCTGTGCCAGTACCTTGCCACTCTCATTGTAAAAAAAAAAAAATTAAAAAAATCTCCTAATATCTAATCTAAATGTACCCTCTTTCAGTTTAAAACCATTCCTTCTTGTCCTGTCATTACAAACTCTGGTTAAAAGTTTCATCCATCTTTCTTTAAAACCCCCTTTTTGTACTGAAAGGCTGCAATAAGTTCTCCCTGGAATTTTCTCTCCTCTGGGCTGAACAAATCCAACTCTCAGCCTGTATTCACAGGAGAAGTCCTTCAACCTTCTGACCATTTTTGTGACCCTCCTCAGGCTCTGCTCTAATAGGTCCATGTCTTCCTTGTGCTGAGGACCCCAGAATTGATGGAGTATTTCTGGAGGGGTAAAATGTGCTTTTCTTACTAAGCTTCTAAACTGTAAATCAGCCCCTCGTGAAAAGGAAGGGTGGCCATGTCCCTCCCAGCTGCTTTTTGGGTTTGGCACCTCCTGCAAAGCTCCTCAAAGAAATTCTGCTGTCACACTGAGGGGTTGCAAGGACAGCAAAGATGGAAAGCATTGTCTGCAACAAGGTCACTGCCTCAGCTCCAGCATCACTGATTTCACGGAAGTCGTGTTCACACTCATCCAGATGGATATGATCTGGTATTAGAGAAACTTCCCCACCCTTCTCCACAGGAAATTTTAGTGTGCTCTCATGGACACTTACTTGATGAGACAGGGGATCTGAGGGGTCTGGAATGCTGGGAGTGTCATGCCAGGAGTCAGTGGTGTTTACTGAGGGATTCACAGCGCAGTGGGGAGAGACGTGAGCACTGGCCACAATCTGCCCCTGAAGTGCAGCTCCAATCAAGGTCCCAAGCACTTCCATGGTCATTCCTACAGAATGGAAGCACAAATGTGCACTGAGGATGAGAATCTTGCTCATCTGTCTCACTGAAGGGAAATGTTATCAAACCATTTCCTCTTACAGGAATGAGCAATGCCAAGAACAGAAAAACTGAAAGGTCAGTAATAGAACAGTTTCAAGGAAAGAGAGTTTTGTCATTTATTTTCTCATCAGCTTTGAGAAGAAGCCTCCATGAAAGAGCCTTTTCTATACAAGCTGCATGAGAGATGTGAATGCTGAGATCAGGAGCCACAAGGGGATAATGTGGAGATCTTTCATCTTGAGGACCACAGTGGAAGTATTTTTTAAATGCCATTTTTTCCAAAGTAGGACTTGAAGTCATGACATCAGACTGTTTGTCTCAAACTTGACAGCAACTTGTGAAACACTTATCTAATCAGACCTCTGAGTCCCTCAACTGTAAAATAAAGTGATACTTGCCTCAGGTTTATGGAAATAGTACAGCTACAAAGCTCTTGGAAACAGCAGGTGCTGTTCTTAATTGCCTAAGGCCAGAGTCAGGCAGAACTACCTACCTCAACCTCAGAGAATGATTCAGATCACTAATTCTCACCAGAAAAAGGGATCATCTAAAAAGAAACCAAGCAAAGCCACCACTTAGGAAAACAAAAATCTAACCATGGGCATCATCTCATGAAATCAATCAACAACCTGACCAGGTGTTGCAGCTCTGTTAAGGGAAATGGTGAGAAATTGGGGTTCTAGACGCTCCTCACCCTGAGGGATTTCAAGCCTGCTGTGACTGTTTCCCTGCAATATGGCCATATCCAGCATCCCCATGGCCAGGAGATAAACTGAATTCCTGTCCTAGCTCCAGAGACTTTTTACACATTTTGCATAAAGGTATATTAGGGCTGAATGCATGAATAGATTAAAGATGGGGGGAAAGTCTTCCTATTTGTGAGGGAATGGACTTCTCATTGACCCAGACTTCAGGCTTTTTTTTCTGTTTTTTCTCTTTCAGTGGCTCCCAGGGTCATGTGTTCCTTTCTGAGAAGCACCATGGAGGATTCTGAAGGGATGCTTCCAGAGCAGGTTGTGTCCTGGTGGTTATCATGCTCCTCTGGGATGCGGCAGCTGTTTCAAAAGCTCCTAGGTTCATGTTTATTCAAGTCCCCTGATCTACAACAGCCTTCAGTGACCTCAGACATGTGACTTTTTGTGTGTCCCTGTAAAGGAATAAAAAACCTTCACCATCTAAAGGGAGGGCAGCGCACACAGATTGTGAGGGGTTCAGACAGTGCAGCAATGCAGGCTGTAGCTGTGCAAGATCCACCAAGGAAAAGGGAAGAGAGGCTCCCTAGGAGACCCAGAACTTTTAAACCATTGCTACTTTGTTCCCAAACTGAGAATGCTTTAGAGTGGAAAATTTGAGGTGCCATGCAACATTAATTTAAACCAATGGGAAGTAAAAAAAGCCCCTTTCCCAAACTTCACATCCAATCTTACAAGCAATGGTGCAATTCAGTCCATGCACACAAAAATCCTGGCAGATGGTGGAAATCTAACTCCAGTCTGGTCTCAAGTGTTTGGACACAAACTGGTCTCAGGTGGGCGTTGCAGAGCTTCCAAACTCAGTGCAAAGGCATTGCACTCAGATCACACCTTTCACTCAAAACACCACCTACGCATTCATAACCTTTGTCTAGGGCTCTACATCTGCATTTTATCAGGAACTCGTATAGAATAAAACCCAGAAGCATCATTAGAGGCACCAGAAATACAACCACTGTGAAACTATATTCTAAGTAGCAGCAAGAGCTGAGGAACAGGTATCCTTCAAAGTTCTTGCGTGCTCAGAATTTATGATGTATTACTTTCCACATCAGCCAAGAAAGCTGATCTGCCAGCAGACTGTATCTTGAAGTAGGTTATATTTTGGCCAGAATGTAAGTAGGATTTATGTTAAAGCAACTTTGGAATCCAGTATTTCTACCTTGCATTAATAGCAACAGCAGAATAAAATTTATAATAAGCAGTTCTGCTTGTCTCCAGCAGAGGGTAATGGATCCTCTGATCCCAACCTTATTTTCAAGAGCCCACTTCATATTACACAGCTGTTTTTCTTTTACAGTTGAAGAAATGCCTGAACAACTGACTGCATCCAAGACAGTCTATCAACAGAAAGAATTCTCTATGAAGCCCAAAGAGAGGCAGAAGTGTTTAAGTAAAACACTTACCAAAAAAGGAAAAGGTAAAGAAAAAGCTTCTCACATAAGCATAACTATTACAAGAAAACTGTGCTCCAAACAAATATTAGATCAACGTGCACAAAAATACCAACATTTGAAAAGTCAGAACTATGGTTCATTCCACCACCTTAATTTGGTTTAGGGGAACAGCTGTGCACTCAAAAGTTAAACATTTTCTGAACAATAAAATGACACCATAAATGTGTGACACCTCTCAGCCACGGAGTTGAACAGCTTTCACAACTTGTGAAACAACAACTTGTTTGAACAATATGAGTACAAGTTTCACATGCCTGTGAAGCCCTGCATGGGACTAGCAGATCAGAAAGCACATTTATTTGGATCACAGCCTCTGAAGACATAAAACCAGACAATAGAAAACACTAGGTACATGGATTTAGCTAGAATTTAGGCCAGATGACTCAGAATACAGTCGATGCCAAAGAATAACACAACTGGAATCTCCTGCTGTTTAGTCCTGTCCTGTGACTGCCAGTCCAGACTTTTTCTTAAAGATAGTTGATGGAAATGCAAACTGCAACAGTTCCATGTCTCTGGAGAGGGACTGGGTTGCTCAGGGGATATCATATCTAGAATTTTTGACATTACATTTTCAGTACTTCTCGCTATTTCACTGTGCCTCTGTGAGTTTTAACATAATCAAGTATTTTCAGGGTTAGAAGGACTAATGGAAGAGAAAAGGGATCTTGCCAGGAAGAGAAAACAGATGCAACAAAAAACCCTACAACTTATTCTAAAGCAACGCTTTAAGGACAAGTTAAGACGTAGAGAAGTCTTACATGTAATATTTGACTTTTTTCTCTTTACCTTGCTTGATGCAGTTACACAGTAAAGGAGGCATGAGAACAGAGCTGAAGAGAGTAGGAGGGGAGGAAACTGTTCTTGCATTCAATTTATGAGCTATACAGGAAATCTTGAAAATATTTTCACTGCATTTTTTTTTTTGGTCTGATTGATTTGCTTCAAAGCTAAAAGTTTGTCTGGTTTTGGTTGTTGAAGAGCCAGAGATATGATCTGGCTCATGCTTTTAACTAGTACAATCAGAGTGCTAGCTATATCACAAGATCTGCCTTTAAACTACCTGGTGTGTGTCAGAATTAATTTAAAAAACACAGATGAAATGACAAAAGATGTTTCAGTGGGTGTGCACATGCACACGAAATTACTTTCCTTTTTGGTGAGATCAGGTGTCTTGGTTCTATGAGTTCTCAAATTTTTTTCTGAGAAAACAGGCTTGGCATTTGAATTTGTAACATGAAACACATAAATCTACGGAAATATGAACTAAAAAAAGAAGGCAACAAAACAAAACAACAAACCCCAAACAAAACCAAAACAATAAACTCTTCAAAATTACTTTCATGCTTTCTTTAATTTAATGTTTCTTGGCTTTTCCCCTACAAATCACCTTGAAATTAAATCATTATTCCTTATTCTGACTTGGTTAGAAGTGATTTTTTTATTGTTTCCTCTGGCTAGCAAAAAAACAAAAAGAGTTTATAGCTAATCAGACAATTTGAGAGAATTAAATATTAACGTTTCCTATTTAACTAGAAAAATGCAATTCCTTTGAAGACAAATTAGTTTTCATCACATATTAAAACATTCTTAGAAAAGTCCAGTTTAGGGACGCAAGTCACTAGGAAGTTCCTGTAGATTAAGAAGGATTTTCAATAAAACTCAGCCCCAATCCCCAAGAGAGAGCCCAGAGCACACTCACGATACGCTGTTGCAGAATCTCTGTCCTTCTGATCCGTGCTGAGAAACATGGTGAGGGCAGAGTATGGTACTTGGAACAACTGTGGAAAGAAAGAACATAGGAAATGTCAGGGTAAAACTGCTGTATTCCTTTGATATCCAAGAAAATGGTTTAATGGGACTTTGGAATTAATTTAGAACATTCATTCAGAACGATGAGAACCCTCAACCAATTTTTTAGCACAAAGACCTGCCTTTACTTTCTAGTTTGAAAAAAATATAAAAGGAAAACAGTATCTTTCAGAATACAGATAATAAATAATAAAATACCCAGAGGGTTTACCTTGATGTTGTGCTCCTTCAGTTTCCTAGGGAAAACATCCTTCACTGAGAGACTCAAAAGAACTTTGCTTTCTTTGCACTAGGACACTGTCGTGTTCCTAGCTTGAGCTAACTGACAGTAAGCAAAGCCATAAAGAAGAAATACAGTTTCCCACTTTATTCAAGCCAGAAGACTACACAAATATCCAAAATCAAACGTCTGTCTAATTATGTAAATCCAGGAGATAATAGTGAAAACTGCTCTTTCAGCACCACTGTGCCACGCACTCCTTAATTTAAGCATAAGTTAAGAACCATTGCAAAGTGGAACTGGGACATGAACCTGCTTGAATAACCAAGTTCTCTGTGGTGTTCCCACCACCCCAGAGATCTGTAGCCAAAGTAAGTCCTGCACTCTGCATCCCACAATGTTTGTACAAAATGCATTTCTGTTCACCTCCATCAAAAATGACAAGCACGTACACTTTCAAAACTGCCATGGAAACCCTGTGTTTCTTTTTCAAAAGAAAGAGAAAAGAAATTATTTAAAACCATTATGGATGTCTTCTGGACCATCTTTCTATTGGGGAAATAAAGGACTTACGGAAATATTCAAGCTTAACATAGGAATACAGAATTCCTCATTTGCTCCTGAGAAGTTATGAGAAGCTGGATGTCCAACTGGAATAAGGAACATCTATACAAGAATGAGTTGAGGGCAGTGGAGGTAACCTGGATGAATTAGCAGTTCATTCACCAGAAAAAGCATTGGTAGAAACCATCAACCAGCAGAGTTTGATAAAAGGGCATCTGCCTGTCCCTTAAACTCACTAGAAGTTGAAGTAAAATGTGAAAACAAGTTTACTAAATATGAATGCTGTAATATAGGCAGACAACCAGCAAGTTCCTGCTGAGAACATCATGGTCTGTTATCTACTTACTGTGGTCAGTGCCTGGAAAAGGCAGTGGAAAGTCAGATACCAAGCAACTCTTCCTGAGACAAATGGAGGCAGGTACCACATTAAAAAATAGGAGACTATCGTGAAGGGTGTACATGCCAGCACCCTGAGAAGAAAATTAACACACATCAACAATCTTAAAATAATGATAGCAAAGAGCATTAAATTTTCCTGCTAATAATCAATATAAGATAATTTATGTGCAGTTTTTCTAACTGCAGTAATGTATGCTTTTAAATATCAAAATTTAGTGTGCATTAAATACACAGATTAATATAAAATATATTAATATGAATATAAAAGATATAAATACGCAGATTAATACTTTCATAAAGCGGAAAAAACCCAGAAAATCTGAAAAAAGAGCTATTCTTAAATTAATATCCCACTCAGAAGAGACATAACTTCCTTTCACATGCACTGTAACAGCAAACATATATTGCCATCCCTTGGCACACGTCTCAGATTACACATTTATTAGAAAGAATCACTAAAAACTAAGATCTCTCATTATGTCTTTGCATACTCCAGAACTTTTTACATGAGTTTATTATTATTGATATTCCCCCTTCTAATTTTAGTGCCTTTGGTTTTCCCCTGAACTTAGAGTCCTCACTTCTACTTCAAGCAAGTGCAAATATGATGATACACCTAAAAACACTCAAAAAAGCAAAAGAGACAATGGACATCCCACTGTGAAAGCCCCTACACTGTGTCTAGTTGGGTAAATGATAATTTCCTCCATTTAACCCCTAATCACTTCAAACACAAAAGGATCATCTTCAGAGAGGAAGGTGGCTTAAAAAAAAAGAACTACGGAAACTTATACTCCAGACATTGCCATTAACCAGCAATTAATGACATTAGTCTAAAACCTATTTCAGGCAAATAGCATTTGTCAAACTCCACGACACAGAATTGTTCAGATGCTATTATTTCCTAAAAGTCTGAGCTGCAGCATCAGGCCTGTCCTGCATTCTTGTAAATCAGGCACTGAACAATGTATTTAGATGACCAAGATCCTAACAAAAAATTTCCAAACACATAAAAGAGAAAACAGATTAATCCCTTCACAACAGCACTACTGACATTGGGGGTCAGCTGATTATTTTGCAATCGTGAACTGAAAACCTGGAATACAAAAGAGTAATGTGGGTAAATAGTTTAGTAAAACAATGGCTTTCCCACACTGCTCTTTGGGATGGACAGCATCACTGGGAGCTGAACATTTACCAGGAAAGTGCCAGGTTCTGGTATTCTCTGCCCCTCCAGTCCCCAGCCCACAGTTCACCCACAGCAATGGAAAACATAAACAAGGGTAAAATCCTAACACATCTCAGGGAATCTACCTTCCTCTCCAAAACATGAGCTTTTCCAGATGGTGTCCAGGCAGAGTCATCAAATTAAATATCTTCACAGTCACTTTTTCATGCAACTGTTTGGCAACAACCCTCTTGGTATTGCTCTCCCCTTTCTCTCATTTTCCTTTCCTCTCTAATGCCAGGGAGTTTTCAAAGCCTTGCTGGAATTGCTGAATATCTGATTGTCAGCTATTATCTCTTCTGACAAAATGTTAGACCAGTATTTCAAGTCAATGTCTGCTTCTGCCTTTTAAAGCCATTAAATAAGTGATTGATGACTTTGTGTTATATTGAGGACAGTATTAAGTGATAGTTATACATTCACCTCCCTTACTAAGGTTCTTGCTTTGCTGGCAAGCTTTAATGACTGAAAAAAATCTATTGCTTCATTCTATATTGTTAAGAAGTCAGAAAAAAATCAAAATACTAAAGTATTTTTAAGCTAAGGGAAGACCCGCTTTTTGCTTTGTAAAAAAAAATGGCCTGACTCTCAAAGTCTAGGAACAGAATTTCCATGAAAATATTAGTTACCAAAAATACCCAGACAAAATCCTCCTGTAAAGAAAGCAGCTGTTTGATGAAAGGTGGTGTTAGATAAACACTTTTCCTGTAAGAAGTGCAAGATGTGCTGGAGCTGGTTTACAGTGAAAAGGGTTGATAAGTTCATGCTTGTGCTAGGACAGGAATCATTCTAACATCAGTGTAACACTAACAATAAACACATGGACTTGCTGTATTTTCAGAAAACTTTAAAAAAATTTTAAAACCCCATCAGAATACTTCTAATGGAGTTTGTATAAAAATTTCATTGTTTTCCTTTTGGGTAGCTTTTTTATTTGGTTAATTCAGTGGTCATTAAAAACCACACCATTTACCTGGCCACCAACCAAATCCTGAAAAGAGAAACAGCAGTAAGCTCCTCTTTTCCCATGAGACTTGACAAAAAGCTTAACTTCTACCTCAAGACCCTGTTTACTGGGCCAAGAGCAGCTGATCCCAGCCTTTTTCTGATGAGTACTTGCCTTCTCTATTTTGTCTGATATAAGCTGCCCGTGGACAAGTTTCTGTAGCTGTAAGACTGCAAAACAGCAAGAGAATCAACTCAAAAACTGTGCTGCTTTTTTCCCTGAAATTTCAACTTCCTTGCTCACGACACATTTACTCTTAGATTTTTGTTGTAAATCAAGTTTGTGGGTTATATAAATTAAAAATTTGCAATTAATTTAAAATATCTTACAATACAGCCATATAATGTACGAGATAAAATGATGAAAGTCTCCCTATTTCACAAAGCAGTCAATCTCCTCTTGGCTTCCAAAACACTAAAAACCAACAAACACATGCCCTGTGGCATCGATGAGTTCCTCTGGCATGGCCCAATCTTCTTCCAGTTTTTCTTGCTTCCCACCTGCCAATCTCATTCCTATATGGCCAACATTCATTGTTCTAACCTCTCCTTAGAGCTCATGGACAGCATGTGCATGTGGGTAAGATGTCACAGTGAAACATCACACACTTCCTTCACAAAAAAATCAAAACCTTGCAGCATCTCACTCATTGTAAGAGTCATGGTGATTTTTTAATGAATGTTCTGACTATGGGATGCAAGAGAAGCGGGACCCTGATGAGTGCTGCAAGAGCCTCACACGGTGCCATGGCAGTGCTGGCTGCTGAGCCCTTTGGGGCCAGGGTGTCACATCTATTCCACATCCATGCACACGTCTGTTCTACAGCTGTGCACCCATCCTTGCCTGAACTGAAAGGCCTGGGCAGCCAAAGGAGCTCCTGGAAGTTCTCCTGATTGTGAGATGTGAAGGCACTCTAGGACATTAAGTAGAAATAAGTTCCAACTTTGTGAAAGAGTGAAGTCAAACTAAAGAAATCTAGACAACGATGAAAATTCAACCACAGATTTAAGTTTTAGATCTCAACTTCCAGTTTTGCTAAAAATACAGTCTATTGGCTTTATTTGTTTGCATCTCCAGTGGTAGAAAATCTCTTCTGTGTTTTCATGTGTGAACAAGTTAAAGATGACATGGCAATTTTTAGTTTTTATTTTATATATGTGGAATGAATACCATCCCTGAGACTAATTCAGTGAGGTGGCTATATGATCACAACACTCAATATTCACATATATCTATAAATATTTGTACACATATATACTTACCAAGGCATCAGTCGGCCAATTTTTGTCCATCTACTTTTGCTAATAAAAAAGCCAGCAACAGGATCAGTAACTGCACCTGAGGCTTTGCCAATGAACAGCACCAAAGAGGCATGAAATGGAGTAATCTGAAAGTAGACAGAATACAGTAAACAGAGCCATTGTTTCACAACACAATGAAACAGCATAAAGCAACTTTCCAGAAAAAAACACCTCAGTGTTTTAAAGAATAATGATAGTTCATTTAAAAAACACGTCTGCTGCTAGAAATTCCTATTGGGTACCCATAGCAAAGAAATGAGACATTGAGATTGGTGTTGTGAATTAAGGGATCAGAAGGGAAAAATGCAAGGAAGGAAACATCCAGAATGTGTTTGGGATGAGGAAAATGAATCAGTCAAATAGCAAAGTCCTTGTTTTAGTCATACAATTTGACAGAGTCCCTCTGTAATTCCCCTCTCACTTTCTCCCCACACATTTCCATCTCCCCTTTTCTTTGCCTTGACCTGATCTAGAAATGGCAGAGCAGGCTGTTTACACTGTTTACATCCAGTAATGTTTTTTCCTGTCCTGAGATTAGCCACAAGGCTGCCAACTGGTGGCATGTGGCTGAGGAAGAGGTTGTTGCACAACAGACTTTATCCACCTGGGAGCAAGCGGTGACAAGTGAATTGCGTCAGGCACATCTGTTCAAACCAACGTTGCCAGCACGTGTCCATCACATCTCACTTCAAAGATGTTCATGGATTACATAAGAATGAAATGGCCAAGTAGAAAAACCTCTGAAATTAACCCAGGTGGACCATACTTTAATGCCTATTTAGAAATGCAGCTTATCCCAAGTAAGGTAGTCATTTTTCCACGTGTCCGTACAGATATTAGGAATTCGCATTGCACAATGGTTTAAAAAGATGGGTTCTCGTCCAAGTGCTAAGTTCATGTTACTACAACTATAGTCCTGAAAAAAGTCATTGAAACCTATATAAATGGAATGTTCCTCACATCAGCTGTTGAGAGGAGCTGCTGAAAGAGCCTCTGGGGCTTAAACAGTGAGAGCAGACAAGGTCCCTTCATCTCTGTGCTTCAACACAGCAGTGCTCCAAAGGCCTGGAAAATGCAGCTGACACAACACCAAGCTTCAGCAGGTATCCCCTGCTTTCCTGCAAAGGATATTGTCTCCCAGGCAGTGGCACCAGGAACGCAGCTGGTGCAGGTACCCTGCCTGCAGAATTTGCTGTGGGTGTTCTCTCAGAGGTGAAAGAAGGAAGCAGTGATCTCTGAATGCCCTGAATGACCAGCACAAAAGGAATTCTGACATCACACCCACTACATTTTAGCCCAAATGAGGTGAAATTGCAGTGGCAGCCAATGTTCCTGTCACCACCAGCTCCAAGACACACACTCCACCCCAGAAAGTTTGTGAACGGGGAAGGATTGGGAATGGCAGTGTCCAGCAGATGACAACAGTGGCTCTCTATTCCATTGCTGCCTGGTGGGATGGAGCTGGGATGAGCACTGGACTGCATCCCACCTTCTTGCTGATCCACCTTAGCTGGCTGGTGCCCTCCCACAGCCACCAAAGGGTCAGGTGACAGGGCAGCCAAAATAAGCACAAAATAGCAGTCAGAAAGATAGAGGGGTTGAAATACAGCAGTTATGAGGGGGACAAGAACAAAAAACTACAAATTAGGTGAGTTCCAGATTTGTTTGGACATTTTTTGGAAGAAAGCTTTGAGGAAAAAGCAAAATCTCTTACATGTTAGGAGTGGATTATGCATGCTCACCCTGTCTTCATCATTGGTATGGGCTTATACATCCCTTGGCTGCATTTTCTTGTCTCCTAAATCTAGACAGTGTCTGTCAGCACCAATGCCAGAAACTTCTCAGTGTTGATAAAATACAAGATAAAATATGCAAAATTTGCCCATCTTGAAAGGAATAAAGACCAGGATCCCTTTATCAGAGAATTTCGGTGTCCTCTAGCAATTTGACTCAAGGATCCCATGTGGTTTGGAATTCCATTTATGTCTGTAGTCTATACAGGTAACTCAGGTGGAACAAGGAATTCAAATTGAAAAACTGGAAGTTACAGAAAATTAATAGAAAATACAATTTTCCTAGAAAGGATCAAGATTATGCATGAAAGATTACACTTGGTGACTTTCACATTCTCTCAAGAAGCTAAAACAATTCTGCTCTCTAAGTGTGCAAGAAATAAATCCAGGTAGTGATTATATAATTACATTCTCTCCCCTGAAAATGTGTGGGAAAGAACATAGGATTTCAGAGCTATTTATCAGGCCTTGAAATAAATCCTGTCCCTGCAGGACTACTTCAGAGAACAAATTAAACCATCAGGGAACAAATAATTAAGCCACTTAATGAAAGTGTAAGTATATCACCACCAACATTAAGCAAAATTATTTGGTTTCAGTAGAAGCTTGTTAATAAAATAATTATTTAGCTGTTACTTATTTAGGTAGTGCCCAAAGATGCATGGATGGGATCCCAGCTTTCTGGACACTACACACAAACACAGGAAGGAACAGTCCTTTGCTTTGAGAATTTTCAGTTTCTGTGGCAAGCAAAGAATGGGGAAATTGGATATTTTAAGCACCCTGGGGAAATGGTGCTGGAGTCTTTCTCATTTAGTTCCTGCTTCATCATCTCCAATGTTTTGTACTGCCATCCTTGATGTCAGTGGGCAACAGCTTTAGTCAGAGCTGCTCCACCTCCCTGCTGAACCCAAGCTCCTTTTTCCACCTCCAACTCCTCAGATTCCACACCATCCACTCAACATCTTGGGCACTGCTGTCCAAAACTGGCTCCTTTTCTTCATCTTGTCACTTTGATCTCAACAAGACACAAGATGATCTCAGCTGTACTGTTGCTGTACAACACACCTTACTGTGTTGAAAATTTTATCAAGTTGCAAGTCAGCTTTTAATACCAGAATTTTACAGGAAAAACATAAACCCAAACTTCTGGACACCTCCAGTCATAAAATATCCTGCCTTTAGACAGCAAATGGGTAATGATATTTGACCCAGAACCTCCTGGTTTTTCCAGCAAATAGGAACTCAACTCCCTAAAATCCTTTTTTCTATCCTAGTACTTTGTCCTAGTTACCATGCATGCATACAAGAAAATACAAAACAGTAAAAATTGCTTATGGATTGATTTTCTTTGTGTCTCTGCTGTTCTGAAATCTAGCTGGAGCAGCTGAAAGTCAGATGAATGGGATGACTCCTAGTGCTTTGTTTCACCACGTCTGCTTCTGCACCAGGGAGCCACAGACCGGAAGCAAAGAACCTTCAGGAAGGATAACTCAGCTTTATTTGCCACAAAATTACCTTAGACAAAACAAATAAAATTGGCGTTAAATTATCACAGAATCACACAGGATCACTAAGTTGGAAGAGACCTTTAAGATCACTGAGTCCAACCCAGCCCTGACACCTTAACTAAACCATGGCACCAAGTGCCACATCCAGGGTGTTTCTAAACACATCCAGGGATGGTGACTCCACATCTCCCCAGGCAGGCCATTCCAGAACTTTATCACCCTTTCTGTAAAAAGCTTTCTCCTAATATCCAATCTATATTTCCCTTGGTGCAGCTGCAGACTGTGGTGGCTGCTGGTTGCAACTGGAGTGATTTTTAACCTAAACCAATTGAACAAAACTTCACAACCTCAGCATGGTGCTGTTAATGTTTTCAGATGTCTCCTGTCTTGCACTCTTTGACACTAGACACTCTTTGTCTCCTGATACTAGAACTGATTTTCCTTGTGTCTGCAAGTTTGTGAGCTCTACAGCACCCAAAGTTCTAATAATGAACCCAAGCTAAAAGTGAACAACAGCCATCTCAAGACAGAAAGAAAACTAGGAGGAAAAAAAAATTAATTCTGGACAAGTTTATGCAGTTTCCAGGATGCTGAATAGCTAGAGGCAATGACAGTGAGACAATGTAAAATATTTATTAACTAATTCCCCTTTTATCATTCCAGGGACATGGCTGACAATATCAGAGTTAGGTCTACAGTCTGCAAATGTTTCTTGTGCTACTTACATGGGCGATGTCTAGCAGGTAGATCTGCAGGAAGAAAGAAGCAGCACTCCCTGCCACTTGGTTTGGGGCACCTCCTATGGCATAGCAGAGCTTGCTGCACATCGAGAGCCTGTAGCCCTGTGTGAGAGCAGCAGAACAAACCATGAGAAAACCAAGGTGCACAAGTCAAAAGCTACACAAGTGATAAGGTTAAAGTCTATAGTTAGCACTATTTTAATGTATTTGCTTCACAGCTATTCCACTAACAAATCACTAAATGCCCTCAACCCCTATCATCAACAAGCATTTGGGTGCTCGTTACTTTGATTTTTAATGGGTTTGTTCTCTAATTCAGCCCCTGAAAACAGATTACAGTGTTCCTAAAAGTGAGTTGTGATGACCCTCAGGCTCACCTACCTTCCTCTCACAAGCCATTAAAAGGAAACAAGTCTACAAATAAGCAAGAAGCAGCAGAGAAGTGCTACACTATTATTTGAGCTTAGTTTTGTCTTTGAATGCTTAATTCATATTTTTAAAGGTTGAAAACTTTTACTTTAAAAAAAATTATTTTATTAACCTTTCAGATAACAATAATTGATAAATACACTCATACCACAGTAATTAAACAACATTTACAGAAAGTTCCACAGACCAAACAGATCCCAAACATTTGTGCTTTGTTTCTTCCTTTGTCACAAAATGCTAGTGTGACACTGGCAAAGTCACTTCACTTTGCATATCTTCCTTTTGACTTGACTTTTCTATGTCTTTGTGAAAATTCGCATCATATGGTAATTTTGGGCCCAAGATTTTGTAGAAAATCACTCCAAATGTATTTAAAACATTTTGCAAAACTATGCTCTCTCATTTGTCATTTGATGTTTGAAAAGTACCATAAGCATGCAAGAGTATTCTCAAATATAATAGGCAAATAAGAATAAAATAAATGTTGAAAAGAAAGGTACATGCCAGTAATTAAAATACAAAAATTGCACCATTTCTAAGAGGGATTCTAATGAAACACAGGGTTTTTCCCCCAACAGTAGAAGTTCCAGGATACTGGAAAGCTTCTTTTTTTTTTTTTTTTTTTAATAAAAAAGTAAGATTTAATTAATCTGTATTCCCTTCGGAGGGACAACACATCAAATCAAATTTTTAACTTTCAGGCTTTTGGTCCCTCTTTAAAATTTGCTGTCAACAGAAGCCAGGAAACATGAAGAGGAGCAGCAATATTAATCCTGGGTCTGTCTCCTCTCTGAACTGACTACACAAGCCCTTAATTCTTATGTTAGATTGGGATAAAAATAGAGATATGGAAATGAAATCCACCACAATGATATTCTGACACATTACCTAATTTCTGAACATTTTTAAATTTAATAACCCATCATCTTTACTCTGTAACAGTTTTGAGAAACTTTAGAATTCTAGGCAATGCTTTTCATCATCTAAACATTTCCCTTTGAACTGTTTTATCAGAGTGGGTTTGAACAAACAAGCACAAGTATCAGGACTCCTTCCTTTGTGTGTTTTCCCAGAAAAAGACAGGGTGGGATCCCATTACTACACCCAAGGAAAGTGGACACTGTCAGGGCATGAACTGCAAAATGTTATCACCACAGCAGACCTCACTTTACACTGCACTGGCAATTTTCTCCTTTGCAGGGGAAGAAAAAAAAAGTAATAAACAGTCACAATACAGACTTCATCGTAACAATTATACTATTTAATTTGATAAGAGATTGCAAACAAAACAGACTATACACATATTTGCTGTCCAAAGTAACTCTTCATTTTCCATACATAAGTACTAATAAATATGAGCTTTACTAGACTTGTGGGCCCACAGAACTTGCTTACTCATTGCCGTGCCCTTGAGCTCTGCCCCAGGGGCTGTGTACTTTAAAACTTCATCTCATTTTTTTATTTTTTAGTCATTCCCTTTTTAAGTTTTATTTTTTAGTCATTAAATTACTTTAAATGTTTGCTTTCCTTTGGTACTTTCCCTCCTGATCTCCAAGCATTGGCAAGATAACTTTCAGCTGAAATCAAGAGATATAAACCACTGCTTTGCAAATCCTGTGTCCCATTGCAACCTCAAAAACTGAAAAACCTTTTAGATCCGTAATGCTGCCTTCACACTCACCTTCACTAGTAATTTTCATAGACTCACTGAATGGTTTGGGTTGGAGAGGACTTCTGAAGATCATCCAAACCAGCCCCTCTGCTTAGGCAGGGACACCTTTCACTAGCCCAGGCTGCTCTGAGCCCCATCCAACCTGGCTTTGAACACTTCTAGGGATGGGGCAGCCACAGCTTCTCTGGTCAAGCTGTGCCAGGTCCACAACACCTTCACAGGAAAGAATTTCATTCCTGCATGCTTCTTTTAGTTTGAAACCATTGCCCCTTGTCCTTTCAATAGCTAAGGTTGTGGTAAAAGAGAAAAAGCAAATGCCCCTATATAACATAAGTTATTCCAAAATGTTTTTAGAAGATGAAGAATGTTAAGTTCTTGAAAAATAATCTAATTAAAGCTGTGGTACACAAAAAGGTCAACCAAGATCTAAACTTACTGCAGGTGGTACTCCTGTCTTTACAGCAGCTTCATGGTTAGGAAATTGACAATCTTAGTACATATTTTATGAAGTCTCACTGCAATTCCACACACACACCCAGAATGCTGCTCAACTACTCTCTGAACCACGCTCCCAGATCCCCTTGAAGCAAAGTTAATACTTTGGTCACAGCAGTAGTTAAGTTTTAATTAAATTTTGGTTATGAATTGTTATTTTCAGAATAAAACAAGCTGTCAGATAGACATGGCATACAAAGGTGTCCTGTCTGCTCACCCACACAAACACAGGGAATCTGCAGTTCATGAGCTCCTTGGAAGGTAAGTTACATCCTGATCACTGCTCCATACCTGTTTTCCTTTTATTTTGGCTAATTGCTTTTGGAACTTGTTTGTACATTAAGCCATAAACACCACAGCAGTTCTGCATGGCAATGTCACATACTGTGAAAGGAAATGCCACTGTCACTGGTAATGCCTGGTAACTTCATTGAGAGTCTCTGAGCTTCTAGCTGCTGAGAAGCAATCCCTCAGACTACATTCTGGAGTGTCTTTCAAAAAGAAGCAGCCCATAATAGATTTTTGTCTCTCTAGGTTGAATTCATATGGTAACAACCACATTTTCTGCCTCAGTATGCAATGGAAAGTGGTAAAATGAAGGTAGGACCTTGCACCAGTAAAGCTGAAACATTTCCTTCTCTCTAGCTTCCTACAATTAAGGGCACAGAAGATGCACGTGGCCGCTGTCTGTTACAGATCTACAGCAGCCAGTCCCCCAGCCTTGGCTGGGTTTGCACGATATTGCTCACAAATGCTGACAGAAGCTGTCTTGGGCAGGATAACGCTGAGCAGGGCTGCGTGGCCAACGGCGGAGCGCTGGCTATCAGCAGCTCTCAGGGCTTTCCTCCGAGGGCTGGGTGTCCCTGCTGCCTTGCTTCCTCAAAAAACACAAAGCGTTTTATTCCTGTGACATCCAGTAACAACTTCTTCACCTGTGCAGGTTCGTCAGCAAGCTGAAAGTACTCCACAAATCATTAGAGACAGAAATGCATAGGTCAAATAAGGAATGAAACATAAAAGTACTATCAAAGTTTTGTTTTGAGGCTGTGGCATAATTGAACATCAACATCAAATTGCTTCTACAAGCTCTAGGAGAAATGTGAGACGATGGCAAGAGAGGTAAGAGGACAGAAGGTCAAAGAAAGTTACAATTTTTTTGTTCTCAGATTAACTTGACAATTTCTCACTTATACACGCTCCCATCATATCAAATTTAATTGTGTTTCAAGGCAAACCAAGAAAGCATAATAGCTGAGAGATTTGATTTTGCTCCTTAAATAGAAAGCTTAAACGTTGTTGTGGAAAATTAATGCTTCTCCTGTGCTGTAGTTCCTTTATTTTTAATACTCTTGTAAGTTTAAACCATACTTGCAAATTTTCCCTTCTCCAACAGAACAGAAAATGAATACAGTATTTACAGGAGAACATCTTATTTCTACAGAAAGTGTTTCATTTCATTGAAAGCAACTCAGCAACTGTGTTACAGGCATAGGGAAGCAGGCGCGTTTTGTCCTAAGCTATTCGTTATCAGTGGAGTCCAGAACTGAACCAACAAGTAATTTAAAAGCAGTAAGAACAGAGAGCGAAACCTGTGACTCAAAGATAAATGCTAGTCTAGGTTTATCTGAGAAACAATGAAATGCAGCTAGTGAGGAGCAGCTTTTGAGTCAGCTTTTCTCTCAGTGTGGAATTAACACTGGCAATGTTTCTGTTCTGTGAGTGACCAAACAGCTGCCTCTTGAAAGCACGAGCGTGGCAGTCACGGTGGCATCCCAGGTCCCTCACAGTGAGCATCCTGAGGACTGGTTTCAGCTTAGTTAGTGACATCAGCCCACCCTTGAGTGGAAGAAAACAGGAGCAGGGCTTTTGTGCAGACACTTAGGAAAGGGAGTATGAGTAAGGTGGGATACAGTTGTGCTTTCTCAGGATATTCTTCCAGCTGCTGGCAAAGCAGCTCTGAGGAACTCCGTGAGACAAATTTGGTGCATCTGTGCAACATCTGCAGACTTATGCCATGAATTCACCCAGATGCTTTCCAAACACAAAAATTCAAGCCCGAACAGGACGCGCCGGGTGTCCGAAGAGCTCCATGAGCTGAATGCCACCCAACATGCTGTGAAAGGCTTCCTCATCCCCTCTGTTTGGAAGCTGCCCCTTCCCAGTTTCCCCTGGTGCTCCCCCAGGAGCCGTGGAGCTGGGGAGTCCTCGCTCACCTCACCTGCCTCCCATCCCTGGGGCGGCGAGCAGCGCGTCTGGGCAGGCAGCGTGAGATCCCTCGCTCACACCGCAACACATCCCTGCAAACTGGGAGTCTCTGAGGCTCCGGGCGAGCGAACCCCACCTGCCTCCCGCATCCCACCTGCCTCGGTCCGGGAGGCAGCCCTGGAGGGGACAGGAGGTGGGAAGCGAAGGGCTTTTCCCTGGCACCGCAGCGGCCACTGAGCAAATCCCGTGCGGCGCATTCCAGGGAAATCGCCGGGGTCGCGGCGCTGCCCGGCGAGCGCAGGGGCGGCGGGAAGGGTGGAAGAACTGTTCCAGGTACTGGCTGGGGCCGCGCACGAAGCCCCGCACAAACCGGGGCTGCCCCAGTCCCGCCGAGTGCCCGCGACCCGCCCGCGATGGGAGCGAAACGCCGGCGTGCCGGGACCCCGCTCTCGCCCAGGGCTGTGTCCGAGGGGCTCCCCAAGCCTCCCTGCCCCCGCCCCTCGCAGCCCCTACCTCCTGCTCGCCCGCCGGGGTGTCCCTCGCAGCCCCCGCCATGGCACCGCGGACATCCCACCCCGTGCGACACCTGCGCGCCCGGGGCGGGGCGGCGGAGCCGAGGGACAGCGGGCGGTGTCCTCGCCGCCCTCTGCCAGCGCCCTGGAAAGGCGAAGGCGCCGGCGCTGCCCTCACGGCCCGGGACAGGGATCCCCCGCCCCGCCGAGCCCCCACACCCCGCGCCCTCGGTCCCTCCCCGGCACCTCCGCGGGGAGAGGAGCGGGGCAGCTCCCGGCGGTCACAGCTCCACAGCGTGCGGGGCTCAGGGATCGGGCACGGGGCTGCTTTCATCCAGCCCCAAAACACCTCTGCCCCTTGAAGAGATGCGGTTTGCCGATGTGCAGGGATGTGGAACCGCGCCGGACAGCAGCGCTGTCATCACACAACAGCCGCCCTTGAGCCGGGACAGCTGCGGGGACAGCGGCTGCTAATTCTGCCCGTAGGGTGGTGAGAGACGGCCAGGGGCTGCCCTGGGAGCCGGTGGAGGCACCGGCCCTGGAGCTGTTTAAGGAAAGGCTGGATGTGGCATGGTCCGGTTGACAAGGTGGCGATCGGCCCCAAGTCGGACGCGATGATCTCAGAGGTCTTTTGCAACCTCATTGATTCTGTGATTCTGCTGCTCCCGAGCCAACACTCTTATCTAGGATACACGAGTTCACCACCACCCTGCCCCTGGGAAAGTTCTCTTGCACGCATGCCCTGCATCAGAGGAAACACAAATTGCATTTTCAAGTACGAATCCTTTCAACAGTGAGGTAGCCTAAGACAAGAGGGTTTAACAAAGCCAACAGGACTTGTGACCTGCTTGGCTTGGGGATGAATCAATCTCTACACCCAGGGCTTTTTGGTGTGACTGATTCAAAGGGCTCTGCTCCTGACAGGGGCACCTGGTGGGTACTGGGCAGGCACTGCAAATCATGCCATGAAGTACTGACATTAAAATCCTGTGCAGCCTCCTTTGGTAAGAATAATTGCAGCATATTTGCAAAATTCTGAACAAGGCATTAAAGAATTTTCTAAAAACCAGACCTTTAACAAAAAACTGAGATTGTGGCCTTAACACACCTTATTGAAAACTCTCCAGAGGCTGATGCCAGATGACGTTCAAAACAGATACAGATTGTATTTAGCTTGGTACCGGCCAAGGTATGCATCTAACACTCAAATTCAACATTTAGGTTGTTTTGTCTTTACACACTGTCTTCATAACACATTAAACACTTTCTTCCTGCATTTGCATATTTCTTCAAAAAGGGAAAACTACAGAAAACATTTCCTTTCGTTGTTCTTTTGGCTGTTTCAGTTTTGCTGTAAAATATCTTCAGGCACAGACTTTACTCAAAATAGCAAAGGCTTCTGAAGAAATAATGAATAACTGATGGTATTTGTGTGTTTCACAAGTTCTAGCACTGATCGAGCCAGTTATGCTGTTGTTTGACCAATGCACAATTGCCGTCTACAGACACTACAGGCAGCTAAAGCAAAATCAATTAGATTTAGGAAAGTCTTCTATTCATGCCAAAGATTTTCTCCAAATTAGGAAATAAGTTATTCAATCACAGTTTGTTGCCTTTATTTAAAGGCACTTTCTAATCTAGCATGGGATCAATGCAGCCAGTATCACTTCAGACTTTTCAAAGATTTTCTCTCTTTTTGTAATTAAGACCATGACACCTTCAAACTGCAAATGCACACTCAAGTACACCAAAGCTGCAGTCAGACAGCTGGTTTTAGTAAAGCACCTAACTGTCCAATCTCTTAAAATGCTGGTAGCAGACATGAATCAATGTTGAAATATAAAACTTATTGCTTCTTCCAATGGATAGCAAGCAAAATTTACCCACTTCAGAATTTTACACTCCCAATTCAGTTTCAAACCTACAGTATTTATTTTTTCAAATTTTTGTGCTGCAAATGCATGAATAGTAGTACACTGTTACTTTCGACATTTCACGCACCTTTTAGATAGAACAACTGAACTCACAATCAACCACATGTGCTTTTCTAATACTAGGTTTTACATTAAGACAAATTTGAAAGCACTGAGTAATAAAATTCCCTGTTCAGGAAGCTCTGGGTACTGAGGAGCTGTGTCTGTAGGTGGTTTTTCTTTTCAATTTTACTAATGTGTTTGTCTGCACAAATATTTTTGTTTTTCATGTAGGAGTTGGTGCAAGAGCAAAGAAAATTTAATTGTACCACTTGCTACATAAACCTGAATGGCACAGTAGCACAGGAAGTTTATAGCACTGGAAAGTGTTTAAAGGCATAGTTTCCAGAGATTTGTTTTCTGAGAACACTAAATTGCCCAGTTGACTTTCATTTCCAACACACCATGAGAGATGCTGAAGCAAACCAGTTTTATATCCCTGGGAATGAAGGAGAGTACATCCCTAGTCTGAAGTCTCACTACTTTTTAGAATACAAGTTGCTCCAATGAAGGAATTTTCTATTTAGAACAAAACTAGGAAAACCCAAACCCAACTTTCATTGAACCACACAAAAGAAGTACAACCCCAACAACCATCCTTTGGCAGAGGTAGCAGAGAGGAGTCAGGACTTGCTGAAGATCCTGGGATACGTCTTACCCGGAGATTTTAGTTCCATTCACAAACCCACAGGCTTAGTAAGCACAATACAAAATATTAAGTCTTTCAGTTGTTTTCTCTTTTAGCAAAACATGGAATAGTTGGCTACAAACTTTATGCCTCAAGTACATGAACAGCAAAATAAAAGATTTGGATGGAAATGGGGCAAAGTGGAGAGAAAAACGTCAGTTTTCAAGTAAGGATTTTCAACAGCTTTGAAACTTGGCCACATGCAATTAGTGTCTCCATCAGCTGGGCAGTTCAGGACAGAGGCAGATAAACAGTACAAAAACAACTGTGTTCCTCTCAACTACTACTCCTGCTTGGTCATAGCCAAAAAAACTGAAGTTTCTGTGTGACAAAGCTAGAAGTGGGTCCCTATGCCAATGAGCTAGGTAGTTTAACATCACCTAACCTGCAAGACACTGGCAGCAGCCCAAAAAAAGCAGAAACCACTTCAACCATTGATAAGAACAATTCCTTCAGAGCTTACTTTGAGGCACTTCATATGCAGTATGCACCAAACTATCTCGTTTGTATCTTCTCACACATGCACCTACCACCATTTGAAGACTTGACAGAACATTATTACACTGCAGATCTTGTGACAAAAGTTACATCCTGAAGATTTTCAAGGTAGAGTTCATTTGTGAGCTTGCTTGCAGTATTGGTTGTCAAAGAGTTACTGTGAGAAGAATGCATACTGCAGCAGCTTACACTACAATGTAAGTGAAACGTTTCACTTTAGTCCAAAGTGCAAAAATAAATACTATTTTTCCTTAAAAGGTGCTATCAGTAGTTAAGTCTCAGAGAACTGTTCCACCTAGACCCACTTATTAAATACTAAGAAGCTTTTTACCTAAGGAAATTTTAAGGATGATCTGCTGTACAGCTACCTCTGCTACATTATACAGCCAGGCTCTGACCACCCAATTTAGCTGAGAATACCTCTATTATAGCAGATGACAGCACAGCACCCATTCTGCTCTCTAAGAGCACAGTGCATGAGGATGTGAGGGCATCCACATATTGCTGGTTACATTTTTGGTTTTGCCTAGTTCACCCTGCAAATAATTTTTGGTCAGTTATAAAGCTAATTTGATCTTGTACTATTGATAGCATTTTTTTGCTCATTCTTGAGTTGTCCATTAGGTGTAGCAGCACTTTTGTAGTCATTGTCAGGCGCTTTTATCACTAAGAGTCTGAAAGGTTCAGCTGTTTTCCGAAGTCTCTGAACAACCACGGCGTTTTGCAACTTTGCTTCCTCAAGTGTGAGTGTCTCGTCCTGCAGCTCTCGAAAAGGCAGGGAGGTTGTCAGCGTGAAGGGAACACTTCCCTCAGATCCTTGATACTTTGTTATGAAGTCTCTGACATGGCTGATTCTGAGAAGAGAGTAAGAAAAACTCAGCATTAGAGTTTCAGCACTGCAATCCCCACACACGTGCATAACACACACAGCCACCATGGGACAGGAATGAAACACCGCTGCACGGAATGCCTGACAGCACAGAACTGGAGCAATACAGACGAGGTGGTATCCTGAAATGCCTGATCCACTTGGCAGGCAAGGACCAAGGTCTGCACGCCCTGAGTAGTCCCAAGGGGACAAGCATGAGTATCTTATTCTGAGCGCTCAAATGCACCATTGTGGCTCAGATGGTAGTTACACAAACCTACCATTTCCTAACCAGCTGGTGGAGCTCTTACCTGAGGGTTCTGTAGCCAAGAGCTAGAATAAAGATGCCTCCAGTGTGTGGTTCATGTAGCAGAACCATAATAAAAATAAAGAAAAAGGGGTTGCAAAAACTATTTGGACAGCTGACACATTGACTAGATCTAAATATAGTCCCATCCTCCCAAAGCAGGGGCATGGTGAATTCACTACAGATTCAATCTGTCTGTGAAGAGCCTTGCAACAACTGAGCAAGACAGAAGTTTTGTTATGGAAGAATCAGGATCGACTCATTTAATTAGAAAATGAAGATGAGAAGATACATTTGTATGAATAAAATTAATTAGTGTCAATGTCCATTCTCTATTCCTGAGGCCAGCTGGCAGACTGGCTGCTGGCAAATTCCTAAATTCATCCTTCCTCTCCCCTATGCACTGGGTCTCCCATGAGGTTTACCGTCTCCTGGGAATGGTCCAGGACCGGAGCTAACAGCTGAACCATGGATGGTTAGGGATTGACTGATGAAGTGCTGGCTGGCTTGGGGCAATGCCATCCTACTGTGGCACCTACACAATTTCAGCAGCACAGATACCCAAGAGTTTTCATGCCTTAGCCACACTCACCAGAACAGACACAGCCAGCAAAATGAAAACTGATTCCTGTGCACACAGACCTCAACACAGAGACACTGCTTGGTCTTCTAAGTCAAGAGCCTGAAAAACCTCAAGCAGGACTGAATTTTTTGGTTGGACATTTATACATGTCTACATGCATTATATCAAATTTCAGTGGGTTCCAATAGTAACTCAGGCAATTAGCCACCAGCTCTCTGCTTCTGAGCGAACAAGCTCCTTTCCAGGCTCCATATCTGATATTCCAGGGTCACACAAACACAGTAAGTGCTGAAAAGGGGACACAACTCAACCCAGGACACAGACAGCTCTGTCTGCTATTCTAACAGCTCTGCTCTCCTAGCTGCTGCACTCTCATGTCTCAATTCACCACACTGCAACACTACAATGCTTCCTGTGCTTCTGCTCCCATCTTTCACCAGTCATCAACTCATACCTAAGCCAGCAGTTACTGTGGCACCTACACAATCTAACTGCAAAAAGCTAGAAGTCATCAATTTACCCAGACACTGGGTAATATGCTACATGTGTGCTACATGCTATTAATCTACACCTTAGTTAACAAATGGTTGTCTGGTGCACTGAAAGGAGTGCTGTGTATGCAATCATCACTCTTAAGGAAATGTACTCTAAAAGGATTTCCCTCTGGTTCTTATCAGGTTATACACAAGTACTGTGTACAGCACAAACGTGCTGGTCTTGTGGCAAGAGGCTGTGTTATGATAGAATATTTATTGCACAGTACTTCAGAAAGAGCATTGCACCAGTAAAGCTGTTTTTCTGCTTATCTCATATTTTTTTTTCTGTCTCAAAAGTACTTAGCAACTGTTCAAATGGTTATTTACTATGAAGACAAAAAGCTTCTAAATACACTTAAGTATGTGGGACCTGGAGTAACTGAGATATGAAGCCCTTATGAAGTATTGATAATTAAAATAGCAATTTACCCCTCAACAGTACATCACAACAGTGTTTCAGTTCATATATCAGGCTGCTAACAGTAATAAATTAGTACAAGTCAAAGAAAACACGACAGTCATTAACCCTCAACAGCTGAGCTTTCCTTCTGACCAGCCACAGACATACAGAGTTTATCTTGACAGCAGCCTGGGTTGTATTAAATCTGTGATACCTTTAAACTGCTTCACAGAGAAGCACAGGCAACATATCCTTTCCACATGACAAGATTGTATAGTACTTCAGTAATTTCTCAAATTCAGATTTGAGAAAGGTCTCTAAAGACAGTAGCTTTACAATTTAATGGTAAAGTGTTAATCACACTTTCTCAAAGCTCCTGCACACATGTGCTGTGCTGACACCTTCTGACATTATCCTCATTTCTAAGCCTCTTTGGGAACCCTAAATTTTATTAAATAGAATTAAACACACTGTGTGCATTCTATTCTGTCCATGTAGACATGCAGGGGATGAACATCCCTGCCCAGAGCACCAACTCCAGCCCCCCCCAGAGGTTTCTTTGGCTTCACTCTAAGCACCTTTTTCCAGCCCTCACATGTGCTGCCTATGCCCAATGACCAGCAGGTTTTTTACTAAGCCATTTGTTCCAGATGTAGTTGTTTTGTGAGAGATCTATCATGTTAAAAGCTATTTCTTCTAGTAATGAGCAATATGTACACCTTAACTTTCACTAACCTAAAAAGAACTCCTACAGTTTCCTCAGATTTTCCTTTACATTCAGTTATGAGCTGACTTTTAAGAGTTCACATTTCTCTTATGCTCTCTTGTCAGCTAAAAGGTTTCTCAAAATTTCAAAGGTTTTCCAAACGCAACTGAAGAGCAGTCCAATGCTAAGTGAACTGAGGAGGTAAATTAGTCATAAAAATTAAAAACTTAAACGTACAGGCATTAAGACATATAGTTCAGATGCAAATACATATGACAGTGGTTAAATAAATCCTACCTGTGAGAAACATTGAATTTCTGAATTATCCTTTCCCCATCAGCTAACCAGATCTGGACATTGGTGATAGGCTCCAAATCATTCAAGGGTACTAAAGGCAGGTGTCTTTTGTCATCAGGTCCTGGATGATCATCTCTCACTTTGGAGATTATCTTTGGAGTAGCACTGAAAAGAAAAGTCACATGAGGTTATGGTTTCTGTGTTCACATGCAAGCTCAAACTTCCCTAGACACCTCTGCTTCTGGAGGTTTCTGCCCCATAGCAGAGTGTGCTGATGACTTTTTATTTTAACAAATATAAGAACACTAACATAAATATCACCTTCTTTCTTTCTTGTTTTTTTTTCCTATACATATGCTATTATTTTCCTTACAGACTAAAACATGCTAGAGAATTTCAGTTTGCTTGTGTTTAACATTTTTGTAAGATGGAAAGGAGCTTTAAATATCAGAAGATTAAATATGAATATACAAGAGACAAAACTGTCTGAAGATTCTTCATGCATTTTTGTACTCTAATCACACAGGTGAAATTTAAAGGGGGTTGAGCACTGAATTTGCATACTCAAAGTTAATTTTCAGTGTAATGTGATTACAGTAATTCAATTTAACTGAATGTTGTTAGCCTTGATTTAGACTCCAGCATCATCTATCTCAGCTTAGAAGAATTACTCATCTATCAGAAAAATTGACTTAATGTGAAAAATCCAGACTGATGCACACAGGAGTTGGATTTTTTTTCCTAAGGCATTTTCAGCAGCTGACCAAACCACAGGGGCAAAGATTCACAAAATGACTTAACAGAATGCATCAACCTCAGTCCAAATGCATAGTCTTAAAATACAAACAAAAAAACTGCTGGCAAAAAATTTTATGCTGAAGAAATGCCTAGAGCTTAGTGCTTCTTTCATGACTAAGCTTGTTCAGCATGCACAGTTTAAGTTCTTACTGGGCCTGATCCAATGGGCACATTCTCAGTTCCCATGAGTATAACCAGATGTTTGCTCGCAGAACAATAGCAGTGATTTATGGAGTTACCATTTCTCCTCTGAGCTCAGCTGTGGTCACAGACTATCTGAACACTACAAGGCAGTTTGCAGAAAAGCTCTCTTTGCACAGAAAATTGGTGAGTTAAGTTTCTTGAGAAAAAAGAGGGTAACTGATGTCCACAGAGCAACAATTGTAGCTATAATACACACCTGCTTTGCAGACAAACCCCCTTCTTATGTTCTTTTACCTGCATTAGTTTATTCATAAGGCAGAAAAGTCACAGCTAATTTATCATTAGCTAAAGAGTTAATATGTTCAGGCTAATAAAGCTGGAGTCTTAAGTGCAAGTTTAGTCAGAGGTATTTCAGAAACTTTTATTGCCCATTTAAGTGCTGCCCTAACTACTAGGATATCAACCCGCAGAGGCACTTTTTTGTATCTTCCACAGAAACTCAGCAAAAAGAATGAGAATCAAGAAATCTCATCTTCAAGTGAGCAATAAGAGATGCTCACTGTGACTGGAGACAGGTAAGAGGTACAGAACTGTTTTGCATTACACAGAAATCAGCTGGGGCACAAGGACTTGGCACCAACAAATTACAAGAGGCACATCTGTAAAATATTCTGGGATTATTAGTACAGGTGATGTACTAGCACCTACCTGCCTCACCATCTCACAAACAGCTTCTGTTCATGCTTGACCTCAATATGAAATAAAACTTAATTGCCCTCCAGATCAGGAATAAAAGCTTGAGCACCAGCAAGATAATGTCAAACAGTTTTGCAAGCAGAGAAAAAAAAAATTAAATTTCAAGTCATACTTCAGTCCAGCAATGCTCAGCTCCTGCTGCCTCCCTGTTTATTTGCTGGCTCACACACTGCAGAACTCACGTAGTGTCCTGCCTCCAGGACAGCAGAGGCTGCAGAGGTGTTCAGCTGCGGTGTCTGGCTCAGGCTGGGCTGGGCTACATCAGTCACAGCTGCAGCAAAAAACAACTGCCTTGCATGGACACAGATTTTGGTGTCATTCCCAAACCAATCTCCCTCACAGGCACATCTAAATATGCAGCAGGCACTGGAGGCGATTCTTTCAATAGCAAGTGTGCGTGAGACTGAAGCCAGCACATTAAGTGAAGTTTTAAGAGAAAGTTAGAACATCTGTATTGACCAAGATTTAAAGCATGTCTATACATAAAAACTTTTCTTTTGCAGAACTGACAGATAAAGCCATCTAGTGGTGGGAGCTTTGACTAAAGCCAAAACCCAAGAATCTAAGTCTTATTAACCTGACATTGAAGCATTGTAACTCCTTTTAAGGCTTATTCCTTTTATAAGACTATCAACAGAAGACATGAACTAGAGATCGAAGAGACATAAGAGCATCCTGTCAATCTTCTGGCACGAAAAAGCCCAGCAGTTAGGTATCATGCCTTACCCTGACTGATGGTTAGGCAGCTTGACACACAATGCTTTAGCCTAATGAGGTTACAGAGCAAGCTTGCTTTGCTACAAGGGATTTCAGTCAATAGTTTAATTAACATGTTTCTGAGGCTGTCTCAAAGATGCATAGATTAGCTCAATAGAAAAGTGGGGTTGCAAATCTAGTCATAATCCCAAACTATGAAATTCAGCTGGACAATGATAGATAAAACAGTGCATATTCATTAGTTACAGAGCTTCATAAGGCACACTGGGAAATTTTGGTATGTCTTACTTATTTCTCCTGTAGACAAAAAGGCAGAAGACCAAGCTTGTTTGAGCTACATCAACATATAAATTATTTCCAGATCCCCCAACAAAAGTTTTGAGAATTAGTCAATAAACCAATTTAAAATGGTTCATCCATTACAAAATCCCTCCACCTGGGAACACTTGACAAAATATACAATATTAATTTTATAAGTTTATTTGCTAAGCAGAGGTTTAGCTAGGCTATAAGCTAAAGTAAACTCTCCGGTCATTTGTCTCTCTCATTTCTGACTAATCACACAAATGCAACTGTAGAACAGGAGTTCTATAGCCTAAAACTTGTTCCAGGTCTCAGCCAGCTCTGTTGCTGCCCCACAAAGCTTTTCTGCTGCAAGTGTTGTAAATTCATGCAATGGACTTTTATTAACAGCAGAAAGTGAGCACTACTTTATGGAGTGGGAACACTTATGGCTCATGGCTCCAACATCAGCACTAATTACTTGTATTTAAGGAAAAGGCTTTGATAGCACAGCACAGAATAGACAAGGAAGAGTAGAAAAAAATAAAAAATGCTGAGCAAGTTGCAGAATGTCTCAGTGTACAAGACCGGTGAACCGAAATTCACAGATTAGCATGTTTCTGAAACCTAACTTGCCTACTGGGAAGCAAGATCATTACTTGCTGTAGGCATGGCAGAGCACAAGTGACTGAACAACCTAGCATTTAGCACTGGTTAGCAGCAGAACCCCAGCACACTGAAGATATTTTTGGGTTTTTTTTTATGAACAGCTCTACTTGTAGATAAAATAAGGTTAAGTTCTTGACCCCTGTTTGCTCAGGATTTCCATGCCACCAAAAGCAAGTCCTGCAGCATCTCACCTATCTGTCAAGAGAAGGTGCTCTCCATTGTATCTACTCAAGCATGGAGCAACTGAATGGACTGTACAACAGAAACAGATGAAACTCATAAAACAGACACTTGCATCTCGGACTCAGCCTGGAACCACTCACCCTTTACCTTTATCAATCTTTTGCTCTGCACATTATCTTCTTCTCCTGCCTCAGCTGTTCCTGCCCAGGTCAGGCTTTTCCTCAGCACAAGCTCTGGGCCTCGGCAGCCAAACCCTTCCCACTTAATTGAAACAAGCTGTTCACTTCAGGCTGCAGCACAGCTTAGAACTCCAGCCTGCAGGTCACTCAGCAGTGCCACCTGGTCGCTGAACACGTCCTGGTCCCTAGGCCAAAGCCTGCTTTTACAGGCACACAAGTCTTGCATGACAGGGATATGTCAAGCACATAATGTGGCTGGAGTAAGCAAAAGTCACAGGGATCAAATAAATGAACTCCTGGCATGTTGCCCTACAACAGCCTTCCAAAATACAATAGTTGCTTGGTTGTAAATCAAGTCCAGTTTTAGCATTGGCATGAGTGGCTGACACGCTCCAACTACAAAAAAGACATGGATCACTGTAGAATGCTAAAATGCCTTACTGCAATACATGCATGATTAATTACTGAACAATTTTAAGAGAATGCAAAATAACCTCTTACTTCTTCAGTTCTCTTTATGGGATTGTCATACTCCCCCCTGTTCTCAAACTATTGCTAATACAGCTTAAAAAGAGATTCTTTTCTCTAAAATCACAGAAGAGAAGAGTGACAGCACTTCAGCTGCAAACAATTCTACTAATATTGAGACCTTGAACAAAGAAAGCCAAGAGCTTCGTGGCTGTATCAACACAGCAACATGTCCAGCAGATTGTGGGAGCCAATTATCCCCCAAGCTTCATGGAGAGACACCAATATGCCTGCAGGATGGAGCACTCACACTGTCAGCAGATGCTGGAGGAGAGCAGCTTGCTCAGTCTGTGGAAGAGATGGTGGTCGTTGTGGGGCACATAAAAGCAGCCTGCCAGGGTCTGCAGGAGGGGGTGACGCTCGTTATGGTGGACAGAAATTCCAATGAGGGGCGTTCAGACTGTATATAAGGAAAACATTCTTTCCCATAAGGACTCAAGAAGGCTGCACAGCCACTGCACAGCCTCTGCTCTTATGGGATTTCAAGACCCAATTGGATAAAAGCCTAAGTAACCTCATCTGTCTCCACAGATGACCGTACTTTGAGCAGGAGCTTAGACCAGAAAACTCCAGACTGCTTGCAACCTGAATTTTGATCCTTCACCATAGGTATAGTTCCCTTCAGCTACTCAATCATAGATCACATCAGCCTACTCACCTTCCTAATCTGTAACCATGTCCAGAAAAGGGATGAAACATTGGCTTTTTCGATGACAAATACACCTTATTCTTTTTATCTTCCACTTTCACTTCTACCTCCTCCTTATCAAAAACTCTTTGCAGTTCAAAAGGCAGTTCCCTTAAGAAAAGAAAAAAAAGGTCAAAAAAAGAGTACTATACTGTTTTCAGTATACAAAATAGACCAATGATTAATACCTGTTCAACATTTGGCCCTTCCAGGATGATGCTTTTAAAAAACAACTCCACAAGTATTTACTAAGAGTTAGGTTAAGTGCATAGCATACAAATAACTTCAAGTTCCTGAACAGCAAATTAACGAGAATGTATACAACAAAAAAAACCCCTGTGATGCAAGTTGTTGAATGATGTTCAAATTTACTCAGCAGTTACCACTCCAAACACATCATGTGTAGGAAGTTCAGTGTTGCCATACACTGCTGCAAAGGATTCAATTATTTTATCTCCATAGGAAAAAAAAAGGCTTTTAAAGAGGAATAATTGAGTTTAGACACAATGTATTTAATGACAAACACAGATCTCAGCTTCTAAAAATCATATCATCACTAACAGCTCTACTCTTTAGTGCAGTAACATCACCTTGGTAATGCTTTAATTGCATGAAGCAGAATACAACAATGCCTTTGTCTCTGAGCTCTGAGGCAGACAGTACAATTTTGGGTGGTGGGGCTCAGCTGGCACAGGGGCTGTACTAAACGCTTCTCCACCATCAATGATTATGCAGAAACCGTCTCATAATTAGCATCTTCACAGGCAAACAGTGGAATAGAAGTGGCAAACTTTTGATGAATGCACACAAAGGGCTTTAAACAGTGCAGTTAATTGCTATTACAACTAACACAGGTGACAGACACACAGCAGAAATAGTGTAAAATTAGTATTTTTGGTGGCCTAGCAAAATATGGAAAAGAAAAATATAATGACTTAGTAATTTCACATGCTTGATAAGGACATATTAAATTATATTGTCCATAAAATTGTATTCTCCTCTCCACTTGTATGGGGTGAGGAAACAGACTACAAACTAAAACCTCAAAATAACACTGGTTAGTATGGTCAGACTCCTTTTTTACAGCAACAATTGCAAACAGTAGCAAAAATCGCATCGTAATCTTAAAATCTTAAATCGTAAACTTTTAATACAAGGAAAAATGTGAGATGGCTATTAACACAGGAATTTATGTAAGGTTGCTATATATACACAACAGCAAGTTTGCACTTGGAAAAATGTCAGAAATTTAAGACTGATCAAGAGTTGCTTGATGCTACATAGAACATCTGTGCCCGTTTAAGGCTTTTCATCAACAAAAAGAAAACAAAGACCATAAAACCAGAAATGCTCAACCCCTTGTGTACTGAGTTCATTAGTCAAAATACCATTTGATCTGTAGCTCTTATTGGACACTGATTTATTCTTTATTTCATTGTGCACCTGCTGTGCCCCCTGCCAACACTGGCTTTTATCTATTCATCAGCAACTGTACAACTACTGCCACTGAGAGCTGTGTTAAACCTGTTGATGTTCCAACAGCCATTAGCACTGCAGGAACGAGACTGGCAGGGCCTGTGCTCCTACAGGGACACTGCAGTGCAGCAAAGCCACGTAAAAAATTTAGAGCATAAGCTAAGTGCTACCCAAAGCACATTAACTCAGGCTGGTTAAGAACACAAAACTCACTTACCCCTTTTTAATGGACTCCAAGAACTGCTGGTTTGCAACATCAGCATAGCCCCGAAGTTCGCCGTCATTTACCGTAAACCCATTTTTCCAAAGTTTAATGATTACATCAACCTACAGAGTAAGAACAATTCTCATTATATCACTGATGAAAAAGAAGCTTGGTATACACACATATCCTGTGATTATAAATCATCCACTTCGTGGACTAAAAATACTGAGAGCAGGCTCATTGTAATCTGCCTTGGCCCTATGCCAACAGGCACAGCAACTGCAAGGGGTGACATTTCTAAGTACCTTGTGTCAATCAGGGTTATAAACAAACCTTCCCCCAATCATTCTGGCTTCCTAGATCAAGAACACTCCTTCAATTCAGCAGAGAAAAAATAAAACAAAAAAGAGTTGGACTATCCCAGCCAGCTGCAACTCTTCAAGAGCTAATTTGAGAGCATACATGTCTGGTGTTGGAACACCAAGTGCCAGAATAGTCCAGCTGGGGATTTATTAGGGTAAAGCCTTGTTCCAATCATTCAGGAGGATTTTCTCAAAGTAAAGGCATTGAGATGATGCATGCAGAAGCCCTTCACTCAGGAAATGAAGGAAGTATCAGAAAATTTACTTTCAGACAATCATATACTTATGTTACCCTGGAATTCGTGGCTGTATTCAAAACCTTGGTGGTCAGGGGAATGAAAAAATAAATTCTCAGTAATTCCTTAACTTCGCCAGAAATCATTCACTACTCCAACTTGTAGCCATTGCAATGTTTACTGAAATCTATCCAACTGTAAGATGGATATTTGAGATTGTATTCTCATATTAATGCACCATGCCATTTGGTTATCGAGGTCTGATCCCTGCAATAACACTGTCTTGGCAGATACTTGGCCACAGATGAGGCCACAAATGCAGAATTCACCTCAGCTGAAAATTAGTTTGAATGAGGCTTGATAGTACCCGACAAGTTTGGTTTTTTTTTTTTTTTTCCCCTGGTTTGACTTGTTAGGTGATTGCTACATAAATAAACAGCAAGTGCAAACTGCTGAATAGAATTCCTTGTCTTTCCATTGGGTGATCTGTCAAAAGAAGTAGCACTCAGCAAGATTAGATTCCATCAAAAACTCTTGTGTCTCATGGCACCAATGCATATGGAAAGAGTTCTAATTTTGGGAAGGCTTCTCTACAGTGAGCCAGAATGCAAATTTAACATGGACTAATTATTCCACACCAACTTCCCATTTAAGCATTGACAAAACCAATGCCATGGAACGCTATTTCAGGACTGCAATTTAAGATATTGCTCCTGACATTTCATTTCTTCCAGGGTCAATTAAAGATCTACGAACATAATTTCTAGTGATGCCCACTCCAAATTTCTTCTTGTCATCTTTGTTCTACATGGCCTTTTCTCCCTCCCCTTACCAGTCACTGATGAGTAACAGAAAAACACGAAAAGGACAGAATCACTGAGATACAAACCCACACTGAACATCCCACTACAACCATAATTATATGAATAAGACCAAATGAAAAATATTTGGGCTATGCCTCTGCATAAAAAGGCTGCAGCTCCTTAAATAACTTCTTATGTAACAGTACTTGTCATTCCTTGAACTCCTGCTCCCCTCACTCTCCTTCCTCATAAATCATAAGTACACTAGCCAACGCCAGCATCAGCTCTAGAACGACTCTAAACTGACTATAAAGCAGTGAGAGCCAAAAGCCCAGCAGCAAAAGCCTGGCTGCCTGGGAGATGAGAGGCTGTTCCTACAGCTTTCTGAATTCTGTGTGCATTTTTTTACTGATGTGCTGGAAAATGCTGCTGGACTTCCAGTATCTGTTTTCCAGAATAGTCCTGGAGTGCTGTTATAACAAACGTAACTATTTTTTTCTTCACTGCCTACCTGGTTCTTGACTGTAGTTGGGGGCACACACATAGCACCAACCTTCTGAGCTTCTTCAAAAAGGTTATCTACAAAGTAGTCACAGTTTTGTTCTGTACCATTCAAAATCTGATCATCAGTTCCTGATTTACACACCCTGCAGAACAAAGACAGAAGCAAAAATGACTCCTCAGAGGACATATTAGAAGACAAGTAGGTACCTCAGAATCTCAGTACCAAGAAGTATAGAAGGCACATTCCCCTGCACCCAGCTTACTCAGTTTATTGAGTACAAAACATCAGGTCAACTTTGCATTGTGCCTTTTCTATAAACTTCTTACCAATTTCTAACTGTTACAATTTGCACTTCAAAAGCACAAGCTAAAGAACACCATCAAAAAAGATGAACTAATCTATGCAAAGCTTCTAAACTTGGTATCAGAGCCAGGAATGCAAGTTAAATTATTCACACTTCTAACCATCATACACCTAGCTGCACACCAATAAAAGGCTTTCCTTAAAGCAGTTCCATTATATGGTTCCTTTGCCATAAGTTTTAAAAAAATACAGGAAAATTGCCCTAGGATTTGCTCATCAACCCCAACTTGAACTTCCCCATTCCTACCACCATCCCAGAACCACCATTACTGTTTTGGAATGTGCATTAGGGAAACTCAACACCACTGGAGCACACTGAAGAAATACAATGGAAGCCTTCAACACTGGGGATGGAGACGGCCAGGGTATTAAAAAAGATGCATCAACCACATCTTTTTATAGAACATTGTATATGCGACAGCTGTTTGTTAGATTTTCACCAATCAAAATGCAGAAATATGCAACTGAATGATTATCTCAGTATAGGTTCTTTGCATAGTAAGAAGATTATGCAGCTTTTTGTAAACATTGCAGGAGTTACTCCTATGGGAGATTCAGAAAAGTCTATTTTCAGCAATTCAGAAAATAAAAATCCCAGCTCTTGAAAAATTATCCAATTTTACATAAAACTGCATTGAATTCAAGAGCAGCAATACTTACTGGAATGCTAATTAGATACATTTACATAAAGTTGAATTGTTTGCAATGCACCTATGCAACACTAAGAATCCCCAGAGATTAACATCTTAAAAGAAAACCTCAATAACTTTAAAGAAGAAATTTCAAAAGTATGCTGTCCGCATTTTAGTTTTGTAATAGAACAAAAGAAACTTGAAGCATTAATGTAGGTATTCACTATGCTTTACCTCAGAAACAGAACTGGAAAAGCAAACACCTCCACATCAGATGCAGAGCTGCACAGTGACTTAGCAATTTGAAAGGCTGCCTTGCTATTTTAAATTAAAATATTTACACAGCTTCTTGCATCTAGGAAACATTTCAGGTATATGAAAAATCTTTCAGCAAAACAACAGGATTTTTTTTTAAACTTTCTTATATGTGGAACAGATGAATGCGGTAAAAATACTGTGTTTTAGAATTTAACATAAAGTTTGAAAAGTAATGACAGGACACACAAACAGCAGAGGGAAAGGAAGACAAAAAATGGGGAGAACCTACCATTCTTTCTTTACAGTTTTGATATTGTCCATGTCTTTCATTCTGGTGCTTCCCCTAATTACAAAAAGAAAATGGTTTAAAACCCAACCAAAACAAAATGCCTATCATACTTTGCCTCCTTTTGCAGCTGAAGCACTCTTTATATTTTTTCCTGTGTTGATAATACATTTAACCAGAAACCTCAACCTTGCCCCCCACCAAGTCTCCAGATGGTTCTTTGTTTTCCTGCAGTTTCTAATTTAATGACACATGAACCACGCATCTGTTCCAGACGTTCAGCAGCAAGGTTACTTTTTCATAAATGTACAAAATACATTTCACAATAATAACACTGTGATGTGAAAATACATGCCCATACTTCTGTAAAGGGAGGAAAAAAAAAATCACAATCCTTTCCTGAATGGCATGGTTTAAACTTCCCTGATTTTACACAGCATTATGAGATGGTAGCAGAAAAACTGCACTGCTACTGCAGGCATTTGAGTGACCTTCACCTTAACTGTGCATTACTTAAAGGGGCAAGATTTGTCAGGTTACCCTTCCTACCTTACCTAAAGACATTGTTGCAGCAACTCAGAAACTGCGAATTACCATTTCTGGCCTACTGTCAGCTGGCATGAAAATCCTGGATTTGTAAGTACTAAATATGATACAGAATTAGTCTGCTGAGTCAAAAGAAATGAAGAATCCCACACTGATCTCATTACAGTCACTTTTAAACGCTCTGAAGAAAGTCACAGTAAGTCACTTAAAGCCAGAATCGCCAAGAAACACCCTTAAAAATAAAATCACTCTAAAATTGGAAAAACCCACAGGAAACCAGAAATTTTCAGTTGCAACTGCATTCAGAGAGTTATCCCTGACAACCACTGGTTACAGAGATGATGGTCTGCTCCTGGCAGGTTCAGGACTAAGTTATGACATTGTGCGTGGCTTTTACAGAGCATCAAACTAAGCAGTGGCAGCCATCACACTCCTGAACAAAGCAGTATGCACAACACCACTAATATGAATTTTACATGATTTTGAGTGTAGGGGAAAACAATATCCACTGCAGCACAAATTAAAAAAAAAAAAAAAAAAAAACAAAACCCACCATGTGCAGCACTAATTCATGCTCCTTGGTACCTGAATAAAGGTATTCTTTCAACTTGAGAGTTAAAATCCATGTGAGATACATTCTGTAGAAAAATACATAAGCCTCCAAAAAAAACCTACAACAGTCAACCTTAAATTTAACTGGTGCTGTTATGCATTAAGTCAAAACATATTTTACACACCTCTGACATGTCACACAAGATACAGTCTTTTTTTTCCCCCACAAATGTTCCGCCAGAGCCCTACATCTGTCAGGCAAGCCTGTGCTGGTACATGATGATGTTATATGCATATCTGTTTGTTGCTCTTGGAACTCTTTACTGCACTTGGGGAAAAAAAGAATTCTCAGTATCAAGTGAGCAGAGTGAAACTGGAATGCTGAAAAAGTGTAATTTTTTCAAACTTCTCTCAAATTCAGTTTTAGCACTCTAGCACATAGGGGTTTTTTTTTTGTGTTTAGCCCAAAATAATTCTTTGTGGTTTGTGTTAATGTGCTTATCTTCTAATCTTTCACTCCAGTAGGCTACTCCCCAAAGCAACAAGAGCCACCTCCTGCCATCTGCTTTTGTTGATCCTCTGTGACTTGTCATCAGAGCGGTTAAAAAGAAACAGACACAATGAAGCAGCTCTTCAAATTAGCTCTTTGGCTACATTAGGCTGGCCTCAAATGTGCATGAATAGTATTCAAAACTGGTCAGCTGTGAAAGCTGCTGTTCCTTCTAAAGTACAACAGCAATTACACTTAGAAGAAATGTTTGTGTTAATCTCTCTAGGTGAAGAATCATCTTATACAGCATATTGATGTTTATTATGGCCAAAAGCTGTTAGAACATAGCCATCAGAATGCACTGCAAGCACTTTAGCTCAGCATGTCAACCCAGCCAGCACAAACCGCCTCCTCCCACCAACTTCCGACAGACATCCCCAGCTGCTGTTTAAAATGTTAAGAATTTTGGTACGTAATTTTTGCGTCAGCGGCAAAAAGTACCTCAGAACCGAACTACCTCCTCCAGAAACTAAATTTAAAACATGGGAAGAAGCTGCAAATGCCAGCAGCCCACCATAGCTACATTTATTAATTGGGGTTAGGATGCTCCTTATCACTCCCACACAGCCCTGGGGGTTTCCAGCCCCACCAAGATGAGCCACTGACCCAGCAGTGGCCTTTCACAGCCAGGGTTTTCAAACAGGCAGCCCTCAATAGGCGTGTTTTTTCTGGCAAATAATTTTATGGTCAACACTTTTGAGCCCACACTTCCAGTTAGTTTCTGGTTTGTTTCTCTTGTGTTAAAGTATCTGTGAGGCTTTCCTTGCTGTGAAGGGCAGAAATAGCCACAGAAGCACATGCAGCCCCTCCCCTGAAAGCCTGCTAACCCCTTACTAACTTTGGTAGAACAAACTCTCCAGTTGAGAGCTGCTCAGCACAGCACAGCCTGTCCCTGCACAGCACAGAAATTACAGCTGAAAATTGCACTGTACTGTGCCACAGAGAGATGGGAGGCTACAGAGAAATGGCAAGTACAAATTAATAGTGAGATGAGCATCAAACCTAATGGCCTGAACGTGACTGATGTGCTCAGGTACAAACCACAGCATTCATGCTTCCTATCCAGCTGGCTAAAGGAGCTGTGCACTCAGAAAGAAACCTGTCCCCAACCTTGATGTCCAGGTGTTAGAAAGATAAATTACTTGTCTGTAGAATTGCCTTGTTAAGGTTTAGGACTTGACATGCTTCAACAATCTCAGATCTAAAGGGGAGGCTAAACAAAGCTTGGGAAGAAGGATGTACCACTGATGGACACAAAGAATGCACAATTTACAGGCCACAGGGACACTGGGCAGAACTTCCATGATAAGGAAGAAACTAATAAAGCCAGCTCAGCAACTGTGCTGAAATCACTTCCAAGTGGGTAAAAGGTAATTCCAGCAGGACAAAATCGTGAGGAGCAACTTACAGAACACCAACTCAAGAAAACCACCTATCTAAAAGAAGAGAAAGAGCGAGCACACAGGCTACTTAGCATGAGAAGCAAGGGAATAATTTTACCAATAAAGACAGAATACTCACTAATAAGCGAACTATGCAAACTTGTAGCCAGTGAACATTAAAGTCTATGTTTGCTAACATGTATAAAGAGTGAAGTTTTGATAGTCGTGCTGGCTTTGTGGATTTACCACCCAGCCCTTCTTTCTGCTCAGAACCGCAAATAAATCAAGTACCTCGGCTCTGTGTGTGGATCAGCCTCATGCACAGCAGGTCAAAGAACCTATTTTGGGACAACCCCGCGGCTGCGACACCTGAACTCACCCGCACCCCGAGCGCCAGGCCGGGCACACGCTCCGCGCCTCCCGCCGCTGCCAAACCAGCCCGCCAGGAGGTATTTTTAGGCGATGAGGCAATACCACGGTACCGACGCGGAGGCGGAACGCCCAGGGAGCCCCGGGAGGGGCCAGGCCGGGCCCCCCGAGGGTCGCTCCTGCTGCGGGACGCGGCCGATGTGGAGCAGGGCGAAGCCGCAGGGCGGAGGCAGCGGGGAGGCTCAGCCCGCCCGCCCCGGGACGGCCGAAGGCAAAGTCCGAGCGCCAACAGGAGCCGAGGGAGCGACGGCTCTGCGGGACGTGCTACCCCTGCCCAGCCTGTCCCCGCAGAGAACTCACCCGCCCGTCCCGCAGCACCCAGCCCGGGACCGACCGCCCGCCGCGGAACTCCTCGGTGTCCCGCCTTGAGCGGCGCAGGCGCGGCGGCGCCGGGCGGGGCGGGCAGAGCTCCGCCCCGGTACCGCGGGGGGAGCGAAGGGGTGTCCGTAAGGATCCGCACCCGCTGTGCCGCGGGATAACGCGGCTTCCTCGGGGATTGCCCTGCACTGCATTGTCCTGTCCTGTTCTCCGGGGAGAGGCGAGGGCTGGGGGGCTTGCGGCTTGGCGCGGCTCGCCTTTACGAGCCGGAACCCCGGCGCCGCTGCCACGGTGCCCAGGCAGGACCTGGCACAGCAGAGATAAACATCCCTGCCCAGCCTGAGACTGCGAAGGCAGCTCTGTCCCGACTGTGGAACAAAGGACAGTCTGCGTGTCTGTCTGTCAAGCCGCGGCATCTACAACAGTGGGGAATGGTGCCTGTGTTTGGGCACCTGCCCGGCCCCGCGCCCCCGGCGGGAGCAGCCGCACGCCGAGCCCTTTGGAAAGCGGCAATGGCTCATTGTGCGGCGAGCGCTAATTACGGGCGAGTGTTGACATATGTGAAAAGGAGCTCAGCCGAGGCTTCGCACCGAGGACAAAAGAGCGGCGCGCTGTCTGGGAAGCAGAGCTCCCGAGGGCGAATCAAACGGGAAAATGGGATGGGATCCTCGGGGAGGGAAGAAGGATTGAGCAGAGTTCGCTGCGCTGTGTTGGGCCTTGGAGAAGCCGCTCTCTGCGGGACGAGGAGGTCCCGTGGTGGTGCCGGGAGCTATGCAAATATCCGAGGCCAACACCGCGGAAAAGCTGCCAGCCCCTAGAAACACGCACGGAGCAGAGTGAACGCATCCCTTGCACATGCGGGCTGTTCAATAAGGGTTGGGGTTTTTTCCTCTCCAATGATTAGCGATGCACTGTAAAACATTTAGAATTAACCTAAACTGAACAGCCACAACTATGTAATTCACACTAATTAATCCACTGCGAATCCACCGCGAATTTACAAGTGCGATCAAAGGTAATTGTAAAAGCAGAGGTAATACTTCATTGAGTGTCGTCTTCACGTGGGACACGTTTCTGCAATCCCTGAATCACAACAATTAAAAGCACATTGAAAAGAAATATTAAAATAAGATGCTTAGTCTCAAAGTTCAGTGATGGGTGAGTAACAGAAGTAAAATCTGACACTTGACAGCTATAATTTCTTTCTCTTTATAATGCACGTCACAATGCACTGATCCTTTTGAAGGCAGTTTGGATTAATTGTTAAGTTTTAACTGGATGAGATCTAATTAGAGCTCCTACTTATGAATCTTCAGGGAAGATAGTAAGAAATTTGCCTTTTGTTTCAGTTAAAATACATGGAGTCTTATATTTCAAAACACGGACTGCAGAGCTTCTATTCTCCCCGGTTTTGTTTAATGTTTGAAATACTTTGACATTTTAGAATAGAAGGTACTTCTTTGTTACAAGTGTTATTGATTCTATTAAACAGGTTTTATATATTTAGAACTTAAACCACAGATATCATGACTGTAGAAAAGTCAAGGAATTTACAAAACCCTGACTTAAAACATCAGAAAGTTGTTTTGCAGTGCTGGACTGTTTTAAATTTTCTTTCAATATTTTAAGTACACTATCTCCGTTTCATTAAACACACAAGTTCATTAATATGCTTAACTCTTTCCTGGGGGCCCTTTCAGCAACAATTTGACAGACCCAAAGGTAAGCATGCAAGGAGGTGAGGTTGGACTTACCTGGTGTAATGGTGCAGGTGTCCTGGCTGCAATCACTTATTGATTTAGAAGATTAGGTCTATTACTGGAAATCAGAGTACAGCTGGAGATATGCTGACCTACTACAATAGGAATCAGTGTCCTAGTGAATTTGGTTTCTTAAAAGCTAGTCTAAGCAGTGCTGTCCTCCCTTAGGAGTCAAACTGTTGACAAAGCATAGGAGTAACAAAAATCTTAAGAAAGATCTGCAACTCTTGTATAATGTAAAAAATATTTTCTTTAAAGCTGGAAATTTTCAAGTTGGAGTGTTGTTGCAATCAAGACATCACTAAAATCCTTTTAGACTCTGTGCATTTAATACAGCTTATTCTCTGGCAGTACATTAGATGAACAGAAGCAAATGGTCCTTTTCTTACCGTGTGGTGAATAGAAGCAAACAGCCCAGGCTGTGTCTGCTGAAAAACCTCTAACAGGGTATTCATGAGATGAATACAACCATCTCATGCCCCTTTGTCAGGAGAGATCAGATGCAGTGGCGTGGAAGACAGTGACAACCCCCAGACTTGTTTTATAATGTAGGAGTGAATCTCGGTGTTGACAAAGTAAAGCAGGGTTTTAGCTGTCACTGCCAGACCTGTCAAGGTCACAGAAGAACCAGCACACACAGGGCATCTAAAAACAAGCAGAAAATTAATTTTTAAGGGATATTTTTAAACCTTATATTTAACAAGGTTAGCCTATGCCAGAGGACACTGTCAGCTACCTATAATTAAACATCAGCTGTATTGATTGACCTTAACTTGAGAGAGGAGCTGTTGCCTGAAGCTTTTGTAAGTGTGTGCACACAGAGGAGGAGCACACTGTGAGGGAACTGGGACTGCAAAATAAATAGAAGAACAGGGTCTGGTTATCCTGTAAATGGCAATTCCACTGACTAAAACAAACAGGTTCTTCTGCATAGGATGAGTGGTCCTTGAAGGAATGTTAAACCTTCTAGGCTGCCACACAGAGGGAAGTAGCTTAAGGAACTGATGTTTCTAGGAAGTCAGCTATGCACTGGAAAAACAAGTCATTGTTTCATGGGTGAATCAGCATTCATGACAAGGGTATTATCCCCATGCTTTGAAAGAAGTATCCAACACATTGCTGGACTCTTGGACTGTAAATACACAAGAAAATTGAATATAGCTTCAATTTTAAAGTTAGCGTGAAATGCATAAGCCCATGAAAAATTCAAGGCAGCCTGAGCAACTGTTTGTACCAGATAACACACATTTGGAAATAATGTATCGTGAATTCTCAAAGACACTTTTAAGTGAAATTACAACGATGACATGGTGGTGTATTTTATGAGCTTGTTCTTGGACCAGGAACAAAAAACCACACTTCGAAACCTAAGATTGTGTGTGAGGACTAGAGAGATTTATGAACCAATAATGTTTTTGATGGGCTTCCCATGTGATCCTAATCAAGCCATTATGCATTTGTATGGTGCTGAAGCTTATCTACACACGTGTTCATAAATGCCTATTTTTATTGTGAGCATTTTAGGACAGAGTCTGGTTTTTACTACAAAGCTATACATCACCCAGCATAGTAACAGGCTGGCAGTGCTACTTTCATATGATTAATGATCATAAGCACCAAAGTGAGATGATTTGCCACTTTTGTCCAAGATGGAAGTAATTTACAGCCTGAATGATAGTGAAAAACAGACCCTGCAGATGCCTGGCTGTAATATCATCAGCCTATCAGTTTCACACAATTATTATTATTAGAAAAACTATCTGCTGTGACCTTAGCTCAACAGGAAAAATATTATGGAAGCTAATGGCCAGATGTGATGGCAAGATAATTTTGAAATATTAGGAGGGAAGTTTTACCACTCTCTTTTAATGTTATCTAAGAAACCTGCTCTCTGATCCCTCTTCAAGTTCCACTGACGTTATCTAGTGTGGAAAACAATCTTCAGATAGGTGTGCTGATAATGGCACTGGACATTAAGTGTTTACTCTGAAATCATAACTATTATCCATTTTTAAATGACAGTGGTAGTCTTCAAATAATGAGCCTTTTATAATAACACAGCAAAATGCCTGCAATGTGGAGTGATTGTATCATGTTCTCTGTTCCAGTTCAATGTAGTAACAATCTTGATTCCTGGACACTGCTTGTTTGAAGTTTCCAAACTTATATGCCATGGGCCTATCTTCATAATCGACAGTTCTCAAAGGAGTAACCACACAATCTTAATTTCCTAACATGCCCCTCAGGAAAAAGCTTAGGGTGCGTTTACAAAAGCAAGATCTCTTGTGAATCTTTTTTTATTTCAAGATTCAACTGAAACCAGGAGGAGTTGACAGCATGATTGAGAGGCACACATATGAGCTTATAAATAGAGGCCTGAAAAGATGATTTGATTTCCATCCTTTGGAATGTTACTGCTATTCAGAGATATTGCAAAGTAATCTCTGGTAAATTGCCTATGATTGAAGCAAATGGTAATTCACTGAATAGAGCCCTCTGGTCCTTACTAGAAAGAAACTCTCTGCAAAAGTTCTGAATAAGGAAGGAATGACTTTTTCTTTTGTTGTAATTCCTGATTTCCTGGTAAAATAGGTACATGTGACAACAAAATCTTTCATCTCCTAATATTTCTTGTGTCATTAAATATCATTCATGCAGCAAACAAGGTTTTCCATCCTGTGTAATTTTTTAACGTTTTTTTACATAATGATGTCCCGATATGACTTCATTCCCCAGCTCTTTTTTAAATGAAAGGGACTCTTTTGCTCAAGTAATTTTTCATATTTTTCCAATTTCCCAGTGGTAGCTGCCTTGGCAGATGGTGTGGTTCTTCTTAATACATTTTTCAGATACCTTAATCTCTTTTCTGAACAACTGGAGGTAAAAGGACATTGAACACTGCTGTAAGCTTCAGCATTCACTGTAAACTGGTTCTATTTGAAATATGGTCCTTCCCAATGGCATTTATTTGTAGAAGCATTTAGACGTTGGTCTGTAAGACCAAACTACACATCTTGAAACTGAATGAGCTCTACCATTTTTTAAAAAATGTAATACATAGTGGAATGTGGCTTCAGTCCTTCTTCCCGTAATTTTTTTCATTGTCTCTCACTTACTCAGAGTTCTTACATTTTTCCCCCCCCAAGCATTTCCTGCATGTAGAGCGCTGAAGGGAGTCTAAATAGGTTTCTAATGCTGTTCTGTCTTCATATGACACTTGAACCAACAACAGATAGAAAAAATGGGAACAAGTAAATTACTGGATTAGTGAAATTATTCTAAATCCCTTTCTACAGTAATTCATCTTTCATTGTAAAACCACATTTAAATCTCTAAGTATGTGT